AAAGATATGGTTGAGGGTTCATAAAGAATAATAAAATAATTAACATTTATTGAACATTTAGAATGTGCCAGATACAATTCTAAGATCTTTACATGAATCTCGTATTTATACAAATCCTCAAAACAATCTGTGAGGTGCTTTTTATTATGCCCATTTTATAGATGAAGAAACTGAAGCATAGAGAAGTCAACTAATCTGCCTAACGTCACACAGCTAGTGAGGGGCTTGTTAGGATTTGAACCAGGCAACCATCCATAAAACCTACATTACAAGGGTACTTATTACACAAGGGCTGTTTTAAAAGTAAAAATATAAAAAGTTATCTAAACCACCAAGAAAGGAATGCCTAATCATAATATATGCATATAGAATAAATTACAAATTGGCTGCTAGAAATTATGTTGGCATGTGTTTATTGACATGTTAACACATTCACAATGCATTGGGAAGAGTGGGTTACAAAATAGTAAATAAATACATGCCAAAATGTTAACAAGGTTTGTCACTAGTTGAATGGTATTGTGGGCATGTTTCATTTATTTATTTAACCTGATTGTATCTTCTGATTTTACTGAAAGGTAATACTTGTCAGGTTTTAAATGTTCATAGAATCACATGGGATCTTGTTAAAACCCACAGATCCTGATTTAGGTGGTCTGCGGTGGGGCCTGAGAGTCTTCTGAGTTTCAAGGTAATGCCAGTGCTACTGGTCCATAGGTCACACATTGAGTAACAAGTCAAATAGGAATATGCAATAAATATGTGTGTGTGTGTGTGTGTGCGCGCATGTATACACACATACATACATAAATAACCGAATTTGAATTAAAACAAAGAAATTGGTTTAGAAGAATAGATCTTTTCTATCTGGGAAAATGGATCTTTTGGAAATCTAATAAAAGCTATAACTTAGAAAAATGCACACACACAAATTTTACCTACAATTCCAGGACCCCCAATAAGATGCACTTGGAGGTCCTAGCTTCAGCTATGATGAATGTAATACCTAGTCATACACTTTGTACAGGACAAATATGTACAGCTACATAAATAATCTCATAGTACTGCATTTCATTGCTATAGTCTTATATTCTCAAGGTTCGTTACAGAAAAGGGCAAATATTTAAATTATCATTGGGCCTGTTCAGAATATATTTGAAATATAAGTATGAATTCAGTGTTTTCCTCTCTAAACAGCTAAGAACTGAAAAGAGAAAGCAGAAAGTTGATGAAGCAAATGATAAATGTAAGAAACACTGGCTTCCCTCACCCCTCAATCACAAGTAGTTTCCAAGATGCAAATAAGATTAATAACTATGCAACTCATTTTGTCTCAATAATTATATTATGGTAACTACTATTAAATGTTTCCTATGTGTCAGTTCTAAGTATCTTTTAAGTGTCTAGCATTGAACTGTAAACATTTCATATAATTCATTAATTTTCATCCCACCCTATATGGAGAGTATTCTTTTCCTCATTTTACAGATCAGATGATGTTCATAGGAATTTGTCATTTGTCCACGTTCAAATTCTCACCTGGAAGAACCCAGACTCAAATTTAGTTATCTGCTTTGTAGTTGGTAGGATAAAAGAGATCTGCATCCTAATCCCCAAAACTTGTGAATATATTACTTTTCATGGCAAAGGGACTTTGCAGATATGGCTACATTAAGAATCTTGAGATGGGAAGATTATTCTGGATTATCCTGTGGGCCCAATGTAGTCACAAGGGTGTTTTATAAGAGGGAGGCAGGAGTGTCAGAGAGAGATGTGACCATGGAAGTAGAGGTCAGAGCAATATGAAGCCATGAGTAAAGGAATGCAGGCAGCCTAGAGGAGCTGGGAAAGTCAGATTCTCTCCTAAATTCTGCAAGAAACTCAGTCCTGCAGAGGATTTTAGACTCCTCACCTTCGGAATTTTAAGATGATAAATTTATGTTTTTGTGTGTGTGTGTGTGTTTTTAAGATTTTACTTATTCATTTGACAGAGAGAGACACAGCAAGAGAGGGAACACAAGCAGGGGGAGTGGCAGAGGGAGAAGCAGTCTTCCCCAGGAGCAGGGAGCCCGACGCGGGGCTCAATTCCAGGATCCTGGGATCATGACCTGAGCCGAAGGCAGACGCTTAACGACTGAGCGACGCAGGCGCCCCCAACTGGGTTTTTGTTTTTTTTTTTTAAGATTTTTTTATTTATTCATTCGAGACACAGAGATACAGAGAGAGAGAGAGAGAACATAAGCGGGGGGGGGGGGGAGAAGCAGAGGGAGGGGGAGAAGCAGGCTCCCCACTGAGCAGTGAGCCAGATGCGGGGCTCCATCTCAGGACCCTGGGATGGAGCCCTATGCGGGGCTCGATGCGGGGCTCGATGCGGGGCTCGATGCGGGGCTTGATCCCAGGACGCTGGGATCATGACCTGAGCCGAAGGCAGACGCTTAACCATCTGAGCCACCCAGGAGCCCCAAATTCATGTTGTTTTTAAACTACTTTGTGATAATTTTTTCCAGCAGCAAGAGAGAACTAACATGTGTTCCAAAGTCATAGGCTTTCCAATTTGCTACATTTCACTTAATACTGCAACTTGTGTAAAACTGGGTCTTGGCCAACTCTATAATAGAGCTCTCCTTAGATGCTGATCCATTAACTCATCAGATGCTTACCAGGTTAGGAAAATAAGTCTTTGAGAAACTAATTGATCTGCCCTTGGTAATATAATCTGTAGCAGATTCAGTTTTATTATTTTTTAAAAACCTGAAACAATAAAAATGTCTTTCAATAAAGATCATAAATTATGGTAAGTTTACATAATAGAATACCATCCACTTGTTAAAAATGGTGATGTAGACTTATATTCATTAACATTGAAAGATGTCCTTCATATTTAGTTAGGTAAAAGAAGGAGAAGAGTCTAATATATCCAAAAAAGTCTTAGAAACTATCAATACATTAATGGAAGTTAATTGAGTGGTGGGTTTCATTTTCTAAAAACTTTTTTATTATCTAAACTTTTTTGCAATGTTTAAGTATTACTTTAGTAAATAAGGAAAAATAAATAAAACAACTTCTAGTTTAGAATTGGGATATAAGGATATCCTCTACCTATGGTTTTTTTTTTTACAGTGAAATTAGCATTTTTTTCATTTTCTACTGGTAAGAATAAAGTTGATTCAACTGTTTTAGAAAATAATTTGATAATATATACCCAGACTTAAATGTCCATACAGTTTGACTAAATAATTCCATTCTTGGAAATCTATACTAGGGAAATAATCCAAAGATAGAAAATATTTTTCATGTAGGCACTAAAATGTGTATGGCTCTGTTTTTTACAACAATGGTATGAGAATGATTTAATAAACTCTTATGCATTCACAAGACAAAATCTGCTGCAGCAGCTTTCAATATTAATAAACAAGACAGTATAACAACTTGGGAAAGTGCTTTTCATGTCATTGTATTTTATGAAAAAATAACAGTAAGTTGCAAGACTTCAATTATGTAAAAATATGTGTTGTTAAAACAATAGAAGAAAACCAAATGTCAAAATGTTCATAAAAGTTATCTCAGCATAGAGTGATTACAGGTAAATTTTCTATCTTCTTCCTAGTTTCTGTATTTTCCAAGATTTCTGCAAGTTAGATTTTTGGCTTTGCTATTTAGTTTACAGTGTATGTTGTTTATAATGAAACATATCAGATTGTTATTAAAAGATAAAATTGATTTAGGGCTCCTGGGTGGCCCAGTCAGTTAAGCATCTGCCTCCAGCTCAAGTCATGCCCCTGGGGTCCTGGGATGGAGCCCCAAGCTGGGCCCTCTCATCAGCAGGGAGTCTGCTTCTCCCTCTCCTTCTGTGCACTCTCTTTCTCTCACACTCTCTGAAATAAATAAAAATCTTTTTAAAAAAGTAAAATTGATTTAAATTCTATTTAGAATGACTCAGCTAGTATACGTTGCTTCCCAGCCATCCCACCAGTAATGAGAGCAATTGACTAGAATGCCCACATTCAGCAGAACTAGAGACCAACAGAGTTCACAGATGGCAGCAGGTGTCCTATTGTGGGACTGGCAGAGGCTTCCATTCTCACCTCTGCTGCTTGCTATCTGAAGGACCCTGAGCAAGTACCTTTAATCTTAGTGAGACTCAGTTTCTTCCTATGTAAAACAGGGTAATCATGCTTGCCCTAACAAACTTCCCAGGGGCTCACTGAAAATCAAATTGCGTGAAAAGTACTTCAATGCCCATAAAACATAATATAATGAAATATGATATTTATAAATGTAGAATTAAAATATAAAATAGGCTCTATTATAATTCACAATTAGTATTCTCAGTACAATAATTTATTTTTTGTTGTATTTGTAAAGCTTCAAAAGCTTCATTTTGTAACATGACATTTTATGGTGATGATATGAAAACATTTCTCTGACAGACATTTTTGGGGAAGCAATTATTAGATATTAGCTATTCATTGACAATGCTTAGACTCAGGCTGGTATTAAACAGAGAACTTAATTGTGTTTCTTAATTAGTTTTAATACCTTAAGACAGCATTTATAATGATCTGAAAAAAAATTAGAACATGTGTATAGAAGAATCTTGCCCAAAGTATTCAAGGTATGTAACTTCTTTCACCCAAGTGTCATTACATTTTTCTGTTAAGATTTAGACATCATAGTAGAAATTAAGACACTAGGTATTCTTTGAAATTGTCCGGTTTTGTAATGTAGAATTTCATTTTACCATTTAGATTTGGATATTGGCACAATCATAATGCTCCAGTGTTTTAATCAAATTAAACAGTTGATTTAATTATATTTCAATTTGATTTTGTTTTATCTTGTCCAAGTGAATGATATTCCTTTTTCAAAAGAACACAGTATTTCTGTTAGTGAATCTATGTTAAAAGTGTGAAATTCAAACATTCTTGATGTTTTTATGACATTTCAATACATTAAAAATCTTTAAGGAACTATATTTTTTACAAGAAAATGTTACAACATTTTATTGTTATTCTTTATTATATTTCCTGCCACATTTACAATGTTATTACTTCAGGCATGCTGTGAATTTAAGTGGGCCTCTTCTACCAAAGCAAATGTTATTACAATTCTTCTTCAAGTTATATTACATTAAAAAACAAAAAATATAAGAATGGCAATGAATCCACTGTGCACATCCAAACTGAAAAATGATTATTTGTAATTAACAAAGGAGATAAACATGAACCAGAGAAGCATAAGATTATTTATTATAATTCAAAGCCATTCGTGGCTGCAAAGTTAACTCAAATACATTCCAGCATAAATTCCCAATGCTCATGTCTTTAATGCAGCTCATAACCCAGTGTCACATAATTTTCTAGGACTTATGGATCCATGGTGCACCCAATATTATCTCACTTCTGAATGCCGCCTTGATCCTAACAGGAAAAGAAAATTGGTAAATATGGGCAGAATAATAAGGGATCCCAGTTATGAGAACAAGTTTCTCATACTAGTGACAGTAGCCCTCCCCATCTTCTTTTCTGTAGAAATTCCTCAATCTACTTTATTTTAGTGCGGAAAGTAATGAATCGTTACCTGTGGTGTACACCAGAATTTCCTAGAGGGTTTGTTAAAAATGCATCTGCCAGGGCCCAAACCTACTCTGATCCAAAATGGTCAGGGGAGGGCTTGTAAATGTGAGTTTTCATTATGTGCTGTATTAGTTTGCTTGGGCTGCCATACCAAATACCACAGACTATGATACTGGTGGCTTAAAGAATAGAAATTTATTTTCTCACAGTTTCTAACCTCTAGTTCTCACAGTTCTAGAGGCTAGAAATCGAAGATCTAGGTGTCAGCATGGTTGGTTTCTCCTAAGGCTTCTGTCCTTGGCTTTAGACGCCACCTTCTCCCTGCGTCCCCCTAAGGTCTTCTCTCTTGTGCACACACACCCTCAGTGTTTGGTGTATACAAATTTCCTCCTTTTATAAGGATACCAGTCTTTGGATTAGGGCCGAGCCTAGTGATCTCATTCTGTTTAATCATTTCTTTAAAAGTCCTAACTCCAAATAGGGACACACTGTGAGGTACAAGAGGTTAGGGCTTTAACAGATGGATTTTGGGAGGATACAATTCAGCCCTAACATGTGCTGCAGTATTTCTAATGCAGGTGGTCCAAGAGTCACATATGGACAAACACCAATTTAGATTCTAGGTAAGCTAAATGTACACACTCACCTTAGTCATTTAGTTTTCTGTGCCTTAAAACATGTGGCTTCTTCTAGGAGGGTCTTGCCATTTTACTCCTAAAAAAATAACACTGGGGTTTCCATCCTTGCTGTCTACTCTATTCACTCTTCAGCAAAAGCAAAGGAGACTTAACATTTTGCAGTACCCAATAGTAAACTATGACACGGATTTACCTAGGAGTTTAATGCTAAACCTTTTCTCCCCCCCCCGACTAGTAGAACTATCTCCCCACTCCAAAATTTCAAGCTCTCCCTGGCCTGTCCATATGAATTCTCCTAACAAAAACTGCACCCCTTTCCTTCTGTTGTACCATGTACTTCCATTCACAATGTCTCCTACCTTCATGCTTTCCTCACTTACTGTCTTGCCGTTAGTTACAGCAGAAACGCCAGGGTGTGAGTCACTTCTAGATTTGTGTCCTCGGGTCTCTGATTAGATTATCTCCATCATGGGAGATAATCTTGTCAGACCATGCTACATAAAATAGCCTCTCCCACCCATCCTGTTGATCTCTATCACCTCTGCTTTGCTTTTCCCTGCACACTCATCACCACCTACCGTAATGTCTGTTTTTCCCCATCAGAAAGAAAGTTCCGCTTTGCTTTGCTCAGAGGGTCGAACAGTAACCCAGGAAGATGCGCATGTCCTTGACGTGATCTTGCACTTCTCTTGGGAAGTAAAAGGCAAGATCTTCTGCTGAGAGGGAACTGGGGAGGTGGAAGGGGAAACAAGTCTGAGAAGAATTCAGCAGGTCTAAAGATCTTTTATGGAGACTGGGAGACATTAGAGAAAATTCAAGAAGAGTACTAGACCTAAGAGAGCAAGAGCTAAAAGTGAAGCCCATGAATGTCTCCTACCTACACTATTGTGTGATCTCTGGCAATTCGCAGAGCCGGGAAAGGAGGAGAAAATGCAAAATGGTTATTCTGGTTCCTCAGTGACCACCATTGCTCCCTGGCATAACATTTTAGGCCCTTGGTAGTAAGACCCTATTTACCTTTCCTATTCATTTCTCAGCTATACCAAGTTTCTTTTTCTCCCTTAAACTTCTTTATATCTTGTCTTTGTGACTACAGTTTCCTCTAAATTCCCAAGTTTCCCCTAGCTAATTTTTGTTTGTCCTTTGAAGACTCCACTCAACTATTGTATTTTGAAAATGTTCCCCAACTTCCTCAAATATTAGCCACTGTGCTAATCATCATCATACCTTTTTTTAAAAACCCACAACCTTTGGAATACAGATGTAGGTTCAAGATGCAGCTGTCATTTACTGTGTGATCTTGAGCAAAATATTAAACATTTTTGTCCTTCAGCCTCATCTGTAAAATGGATATAATGATAAGACTTAGTTCAGACAACTGTTTGAAAAGACTAAATGAAATAATGTATCCAAAGTACCTGGCATGTAACAGCAAATATGTTATCATTATAATAACTTGCATGTCTCCCTCTCTTGACAGCAAGTTCCTTAAAAACAGTGGTCATTCATGTTCATCTTTTTATTCCTAATATTTGACACAGTACCTGGAACACAGGCTCTTCAGAATTGTGTAATAAATTAACGATTAATGGAATGAAATAAGTAGTTGAAGATGTTACTAAGGTTATGAGTTTTTTCCTGAGTTAGAATTACAGCAAAGAAAGATCAAGGCTTGGGGATGCACACATACTAGTTGCTCGAGGAAGAGGCAGCTTTGGTAATCCAAACAGAAGAAACTTTCTTCAAGAAAATAGAGCACACATTGGGGCACCTGGGTGGCTCAGTCGTTAAGCGTCTGCCTTCGGCTCAGGTCATGATCCCAGGGTCCTAGGATCGAGCCCCGCGTCGGGCTCCCTGCTCAGCGGGAAGCCTGCTTCTCCCTCTCCCACTCCCCCTGCTTGTGTTCCCTCTCTCGCCCTGTCTCTCTCTGTCAAATAAAGAAATAAAATCTTTAAAAAAAAGAAAATGGAGCACACACTGAAAAATTAAAAACTGAGAGTCGTTACACTGGCAGGCCAAACAGAGGTGGACCTTAGTACACACGGAGCTTACAATCGGATACAGTCCTACCACAAAACCCAATACAAAAACTTATACCCACATTTACAGCGTTTCGGACTTTCTGCCTCTCTCTCAATAAAATAGACTCTGGGAAGAGCAGTTTTTAAATTTAACTTTGAATCTACAGCACCCAGTAGTGTTTAATCGCAGCTGGAGTCCGATAAACGTTTGGGGAATGAATCAATGGCACAAAAGGAAGCAAAGCAACTAGGAGCCCTAGGGGAAGTAAAGATCTGTTACATTCTCGGAGGTCCTCTCCACAACCCAAGCAGCGAAGTCACTCGCGCAAGGGACCAAACTCCTCATCCCAAGATCCTTGGTTCCTCACCCCAGAGTTTGCTGGAAAACGGGAGCGAGGCACAGGATAGAAAGAAACCTTCTTTGGATTTCGTGGGTCCCAGCACCTGGCTTGACGAAACATCCACCACACTCCTAACGGCATGATATAATTTAAACCGCCTCCACGTCTTCGAGAGCACCACCCCAAAACCTCCCGGACCAACTCCGCGCCGACCAGGGCGAGAGGCCCCACCCCAACTCTAAACTAGCCAATCCAAACAGCCAGGATCAGCGGCGCGGTGTCTTCTGGGATTTGTAGTCTCTCGAGTTTAGGGCTTCCTCCTCCTCATGACTACAATTCCCGGCGGCCACGGGGCTCCAAGGTCGGTCCCCTCTCTGGGGGCGGAGCCCACGGCGAACGGGGGCTGGGCCCTAGCCTCTCCCCCGCGTGGCGAGGAGTGGTGCTGGCAGTTCCGGGGTGGAAGTTCCCACGTGTGGTGCTGGGTAGCCGTCTTTGGTCCCCTCTACTCTCCAAAGCCCGTGCGTCTGAGCCCGCGGTGATGCCGAAGATCAAGTCGGGGACGAGCGGTCGCCGTCGCGAGCGGCTCAAAGAGAGCCGGGAGCTGAAGAGCGCGGGAGGTGGGGACAGCCAGGAGGGGGCTGTGTTCAGGTCTGATCATCCGGCAGGACTTGTTCGGGGACACGGACCCAGATCTGGGCCGGGACAGTAAGGCCGGTGGCGGCGGCGCTCGCGGGTCGCCGGCGGCAGGCCTTGCGCCGCCTTTGCCTTCCTTTCCTGCAGGAGGGGTGGACTTAAGGCAGTGTGTCACCTCGGCTCCAAGCGTGACGTTCGATGGTGGCTCTCGGTGCAGAGATCTAACCCCAGCCACCCTGCTTTCTCTGGAACGGTCTCAGGTCTACTTTTCCTTGGGAAATTAAGGCTCTTTCGTGTTTTCTTCCAGGACTCATGTTCAACACGGGGATTGGGCAGCACATTTTGAAAAATCCTCTCATTGTTAACAGCATTATCGATAAGGTGGGTGTGGAAGAGAAAAGGAGAGAGTTGTTGGGTTATTGATTTTGTTCTTAGGAATACTTCAGCGCACAGAGGATGTCTGTCGCAAAATAGATGCTCTCTATATATCTGTAGAATGAATTGAAGAATTGTCTGGGATTCATAGGCTGACCTTGGCGTGATTTGCTTTATTCTGTGGGTCTGAGTTTCCCCAGGCTCCAAATCTTTCTGTAGATTATTTACTTCGTAGCTGGACCTTGGTACTTGTTCAATTCCAGATTATTTTTCTATTCCTAATCACTTTTTTCCTAGACACCATCTATCACTGTTAGTTTTTATTTACTCCAGAGCCTAAAAAGATGTCATAATGACAGCTTAGGAAGTTTTTTTCCACAGAGAAACTTACATGGTACAATCCAGTGCCTCATATAAACCCTTCCGAGTATTCTTCTGGCATGGGTAATGGATGTTCTCTTACTGTTCTGGATGATTGAGTACCTTAACATGAAATCTATGTGGTACAGATTACATTCTCGGTTACAAAGGAGGCATCCTGGAGCCGTAGAGAGAACATTACATATTTAGAGACTATGTCATCTTGACGTAATGTTGTTTGCCAAACGAGGGCCTAATTTTTTAACCTTTTTGGCTCATGGATTTCCTTTGAGCATCTGATGAAAGCTGTGCACGCAGAACGCGGCAGCTTTGTACCATGCAAACACCCGGGTTTGTGTACAATTTCTAGGTATTCCTATCCCTGAAACCATACATGGGTTGAAAATTGAGAAATCCCAGCACAACATGCTGTGATTCTCAGGCAAGATCATCATATGCAGTCCTTTCTTGTTTGAGCTTACTGATAATAAGAGTTGGTAAAAAGATGCTGTTGGAATCATCTCTGAGGTAGAAGACAGAAAGCCATTCCCAGAAAGAACTGCTATTCCTGCTTTTCTGACTCCTAAAGTTTTCTGACTCCCAACTATTGCCCCAGCTTAGAAGAGATGCCAGATTTCCACTTGCGCCTAATGTTATGAGAAAGTTTTGTCAAGCACGTAGATCATGAAGGAATCTCACAGAAGTGGAGTCAGAATAAGATCGCTTTAACCACGTGCTTTTGAGCAAAGGTAAAATAAATGTGTAAATAAGTGTGTAAAATAAATGACGTGCTCAGATGTGCCAGTAAAGCTAAAGTGGTTGTGCTTGCTTGCAGGCTGCCTTAAGACCAACTGATGTGGTGCTGGAAGTTGGACCCGGAACTGGCAATATGACTGTAAAGTTGCTAGAAAAGGCTAAAAAGGTAAAAAGGGAATTTTGTGTTTTGGTATCAGAAATGACTATGTGAGCAAGCTCACCTGGTTTACAAATAGAAATCTATTTTAATTAATTGTTCTTTAACAGCAACCCTTGATACTTTGCTAACAGCTTTATCTTAACAAATATGGGCAAAATGGATAAAAGTGGTCAAAAATACAAACTTCCAGTTATAAAATGAGTAAGTCCTGGGAATGGAATTTACAGCATGGTCGCTATAGTTAGCAACAGTATCATATGTATATTTTAAAGCTGCTAAGAGAGTAGATCTTAAAAGTTCTCATCACAAGACAAAATTTTAATATTTTATGTATAAATATGTGTGGCAATGGATGCTAACTAGACTTTTTCACAATATATACGTATTTTGTAGTATGTACATGTTATGTTGTACACCTGAAACTAATATAACGTTATAATGTCAACTGTATCTCCATTTCAAAAAATGGATTACGAAAAAGAGAATATGGGATGTATTAATCGGGAAAACAGAAACCACATTCGATTTTTCAGTACAGGGCATTTAATATAGGGAGTTGTTTACGTTGTTGTTAGATGACTAAAAGAATAAAATGGGAACACTGAAGTAGCCCCAAAATAATAATTACAAAGAGGAGCTACCATCTCTAGGCTCAGGGGGACAAAGCAATGAGGCTGGAGTATTGGAACCTAGAGGAGGAGATCTAAAGAGCTGCACCATGAGATTGGGATGCCGCTTGGCCGCTGCTGGTAGCTTCTGTATGTGTGGCTGACCCAGTTTCCAGTTGAATGGATCCAGAATGTAGGAATGGGATTAGGAGAGCCAGTAGGCATTACTGGAATACCCATGGGCTAGCGACAGCAGGAAACAGTTACCATCCAAAGGCCTCAAGGGGAACAAGGAGGGAACTGCCTTACCAGAGCCCAGTAAGAGTGGGAGCCATTTGAACAGGGGCCACTCAGAGCAGAGTCTGTTTTTCCGATGGTGTTCTTTGTTGTTTGAAATGGTAGAGTAGAATTGAAGGAAAATTGGAGGTAGAATTGGTGAAAAAAGTTTGATTCATGTTAACCATGTAAGAGTTAGGATTGAGATAACAAGATTTATGCTCCATAATTAACCCCCAAATACTTTTTTTTTTTTTAATATAGGTAATTGCCTGTGAACTTGACCCAAGGCTAGTAGCAGAACTTCACAAAAGAGTTCAGGGCACGTGAGTATGAGTATGCATGAAGAATTAAAGTGCATTTCAGTCTCATGAAACAGTGCTCATTTTTAATTGCTATTTTTCTTATTATTAGGCCTCTGGCCAGCAAACTTCAAGTACTGGTGGGTGACGTGTTGAAAACAGATCTACCATTCTTTGATGCTTGTGTGGCAAATTTGCCATATCAGGTATGTTTTCAAATTGTTGGGAACATTATACAAAATGTTTCTGTGATGTGTCTTTCCCAGAAATAACTAGTTAATTCTCTTACAGATCTCTTCCCCTTTTGTCTTCAAGCTGTTGCTGCACCGACCTTTTTTCAGGTTTGTGACAAAAGACCAAAATTACCACCAAATTTTAGGCCGTGAACAGACAGCCAAAGATGATAGTTAATTCAATTAAAAAACTATTGGAGAATGTGTTTTGTAGAAAATACCTATTTGTGTGGAGGTCTTTCTCTCTTTTTATTCATTTGACAGTTTCGGGGGGAGGTACAGTGTAAGTCCTGCTTCTGAGACCAAATGGCCTTTCCCTGTTTTCTAATACTCTTGCCATTAGTCCAGGTCAGACTCTTTATTACCTTACGTCTCAACAGCCTCAGAACTAGTCACTAGGCACATTATGTAACAGGGGTTTTCAAACTCAATTCAGAAACCCCTTACTGGTTATAAATTTACTGAGTCGTGACCATTTTTTTTAATGACATGTAATAGAGTATATCAGAGGGCATTCATTGTATGTAGCCCAGGTGATTACAGTTTTGTGAAACTTTTGCTTAAGTTACATAAACACATATATGTACAGATATTTGTGGCGTAGGTTGCAATGTCAAATGTATTTCTTAGTATGACTCGTTGTCAAAAAAGTTTCAAAGTCAAAGCTCAGCTTTGAAGATGCTCTTTTCCTATTCAAGAGTCTCCAAAAAGCCTCTGCATTGCTTTCCAACGTCCACGTTCCTTAACTTGGGAAATCAGGACACCAGTGTCAAAACCTGTCTCTCTTGCCCCAGCTCTTCCATTAGGGTGTTTTCTTCCCCATAAATACCATTGGGCTGCCGAGCTAATTTTGTTTGAGTTTTGTTTTTTTTCCCCTAGAAGGGATAATGGACTAGTGCTTATCTGAACTGCTTTCTCATCTGAACACAGAGGGCTTACATGTGCAAAGAGTTAGTGGTGTAGCCCTTATAAAATGAAAAGCCAGCTGGCTCATTTTGTGGTAATAAAGCTAAAGCTGAAAGTGTTCTGCCTTCTAATCAGCTGAACGAATTCTCCTTAACCACAGATACTGCTTTGTTCTATTTCCCACCCAAGAAAATTAATTGAAGTTGAAATAATTTATAGTTAAAAGTAACCATTTTCCTTATTCCTTTTCTACTCTCTCTTCAGATGTGCTGTACTTATGTTTCAAAGAGAATTTGCTCTCCGACTAGTTGCAAAGCCTGGAGATAAATTATACTGCAGACTCTCAATCAATACACAGCTCTTAGCACGTGTGGACCATCTGATGAAAGTAAGTGACTGTTAGTGAAATAATGTGGCTTACCTCATCCATGAGCATCTAGTTGTGCCTTCTGTGAGGAAAGCATATTTGATTACTAAATTTAAAACTCTTTTTGAGAGGACTCCTTATTTTCTGATAAACAGGTTGGAAAGAATAACTTCAGGCCACCACCCAAGGTAGAATCCAGTGTTGTAAGAATAGAACCTAAGAATCCACCACCACCTATCAATTTTCAGGTGAGGTTAAAGTACTAAAGTCGTTAAGTAAAGGAGGAAAAAAGACCAAGCTGGAAGATGTATGTCTCTAGCAGCAGAAAAATACTGAGTTAACCTAAATGTCCAGACACGAAAATGCTAATGATGACATCCCTATGCTGGGAGTAGATGGAATATTTGGATGTAAGATCATTGTGAAGAGCACAAAAAAGCATGGAAAATGTTTGCAAAAAGTACAGCTTGGAATGCCTTTGCATTTTGCTATCAAGTATGGCTACAGAAGCATGTATCTATCTGAGTACGACTTAGGAAACAAGATAAAATGTAGTTGTTAGAGCAATATTATGAATAACACTTTTTAATCATAATTCCTATTTCTGCAATTTAAAAAGAGAAGTTGCATCACTTGATGTAAATCCATACTGCAGTCTCTGGATAAAAACATGATTACTTGTGTGGTCAGTACTCCTGGTAATGGAGTGGTTTGTTAGTTACTCCTACAGGGTGGTTTAGGTATGTTGCATAGGCTATTAAATCATGTCTGTTTTGAATTATGTTTTTTGAAAATGGTACTTTGATTTCAATAAATGTCAGTGTTCTTTGTTCAGATGTGGAACAATTTTTTTTTCTAATTTTTAAAATTGAGGATAAAATTTTCAGTAAGGTGGACTAAAGTGCCAAAAATCAAGTACATATCTTATTTTTTGCATGGGTCAGCCAGATCAAGATACAGAACATTTTCATCACTCCAGAAGGTTCTTTCAGTTTTATATATTAAAAGACAAAATAATACCTAGGAGACATAGGCAAGGTTTGATATTTTTAAGAAATGATCCATCTTCTGTTTCAGGAATGGGATGGCCTAGTAAGGATCACCTTCGTTAGGAAAAACAAGACACTCTCTGCTGCATTTAAGTGAGTATTTTACTCATTTATGATATATGAAGGACCGGTGCTGTAGGAACTTATCCTGAACAAATACCCTAAAGCATAAAGACTACCCATGTCCAGACACACTTTTCCTTTTTCACTAACTTTGTACTTTGGGGGGGCAGAAAAATTTAACAAAGAAAGTTCCTGGAATTTGGAATTACATCAGGTTTTTTGGCAAAACGGGAAAAAACAAAAACCACACATTGTCTCATTTTTCCTTTCAACACTTGTGAAAAATTCATGCAATTTTATTAACTTGGAAATATTTTTAAATAGCAGTTTGAAGCCTAAGGGCAAAAGAGAGGTTCTGAAAGCCATTATTTCACTTTTTTTTTTTTAGGTGGTATTTTGAATTTAGGTGATGTTAAGAATTTCAGAGATTTTTATTAGAACTTTACTTTTCAAATATAACTAGTTTGTGATTGTTTCTTAGTATTCAACGCCTTTTAGTCCCTTAATTTTACCACATGGAGCATACATTTTACTTTATAATAAACTGAAAGGAAATTATAATCTTTGATTTTGGAATAATAGCAATGTCGCTTCTTTATGCTATAGGTCAAGCGCAGTACAACAGCTATTGGAAAAAAACTACAGAATTCACTGTTCGATCCATAATATTGTAAGCAAAAAATATTTCTGTTGTCTCTGTGGTTCCGATTTGTTGTTTTAAAATGTTTCCCCACTTCTTATTCTTTTTCATCTATCATCACTTGATCTTTAAAAGTGATGTGTAACTAGCACAACCTTAACTTGAACTCTAATAGGTCAATACTACTGTGTATTCTTGGAATAGATCCAAGTGGCCTTGATTACTCCACTTGAGCTTCTTTAACTAGGCAGTTGTTTTTAGACATAAAAAGAGATTCAATTGAGTCATAATTTTCCCAAAGCTTTAGGCATGTGTAGCTTGTTCAGCTCAAATTATGTACCATTTGCTATGCTCTGAATTGCCTTGTTGCTCATGTGGCAATTCAATTTAAAGTTACCATTTTCTCAGTAACTTTTTTTAATACTCAGAAATTGAAATAATTATAGGCTGAATAGATTTTTTGTTGTAAGCCTCATGCCTCTTTATTATCTGTGCATTTTCTTTAACCAATTTTGTATGTGTGTCAGCACACATACACATAGCCATATACATAACTGTGATGTCTGATAACTTTTTAGTTCTTTCAAATTAATTAAACAGAGCAGAAAGATAAGAGCAAATTTCCATTGCATTTTTTGACTCAGATCTTATATGGTTTAATATATCATTTTGCTACCTTCATTTTCTTTTTTATGGGCAAAGTCATCAAACAACTGCCTAGGTAGGAAAATATTAAACGGGATTAAGAAAAATCTTTGGAGGAAGGATGTGAGGTATGAAATATTTAATATTCCCCAGGATTGGAGGTCATCTCTTTGAGAAAAAGTGGCTGATAAAATTAAATTTGTGCCAAGAAAATTTGAGATATTTTTAAAGGAGTAACAGTTGCTATAAAATTCAGTTTATAGCTTTAATTATTTTTTGACATGAAGTACCTTACTCCTGAAACTGTTAAGTATTTCAGAATTTTTAAGAAAAAGGGCAGTATACAAGTTTAACTCATTCAGTTTTCTGAGTATTTGGTATGTGCTGAAGATTAACCACTTAACTAATTAGAGGTCCAAGTCTGATCTGCAAAAATAGGCTTTTCAAACTGCTGTGAGCAGATAAAGGTGACTATTTTATCAGTTACTGGACTAAAAAAACAAAAAAGAGCCAACGTGACTTCATTAAAGATATGTTGTTCATTTATTATGAATCTTATATTGATAGATAATACCAGAATATTTCAGCATAGCAGATAAAATACAGCAAATCCTAACCAGCACAGGTTTTAGTGACAAGCGGGCCCGTTCCATGGACATAGATGACTTCATCAGGTAATTACATTGTTCTTTTTTCCTAAGTGTTTACATTTCTTTACTGTGACACCTTCCGATTAGAGATTTAAAGGCTTTTAAGCGGTATAAGGTGCTACCTGGGGTTATTGCATAGCACTTCCATAGTATGGAATAGTATTTGGTGTAGAAGATGGAGGCTAGTTAGCTGCAGCAGAATGAACATTTTAAGAACAGTAATAAAGAACAGTCCGAGCCTGAAGATAGCCTCTGTGTCAGTGTGTGTTGTAGTATGTGTGCTCCTCCCCTTCAGCCTCCTCCCCCAAATCCCATTCATAGGTAGTCTTAATAGTGTGTGTCTTCAAAGTAGCCTGTAAGGTAGAAGCAGCATAATACATGTCGTTGAATCTCATTCTTTTTCTGTATTGGGAAGAGTTACTGTTAAATAGATCCTACACATGAAATAATGTCAATTACAATCATACCTGGTTTTCAGTTCTAACTGGTTTAATAATATAGTTATTTTGTAGACTGAGGCAAGTTCTACACACCTATAATAAAAGAAGAGTGTCATAATTAATGGGGCAGTGCAGACCAAAATGTGTTTTCCTTGAATTAAGCAAGTTAGTCTTATGAAAGCAGAATAAGCCTTCAATTACCTATACTGTTTTTAAGCACTAACACTTTGATTTCCTAATAAACCATCACTTACTGAACAGTTTTTGCCTATTTAGTTGCTTCATGTTTACAACATCCCTGTTCTAGGAGTTGAATAAAAAATGAGGGTAGATTGTTATAAAAGTAATTGGTTTGACTTTTCTAAGCTGGCAGCACAGTTCCATATAAGACAGATGGGGTTTATATTTTATATTTTATATTGGCAGGCTAGCAGTACTACTGAGTCTTCATCAGAGGTTAATCCTAGGAGTTGAACATCATTCATAAGTACCTATCTTCCTTTTTCAAACATTCTAATCCATCTTCAGCTGTTCCTGTGGGCCATCCTGAAAATCATCTCGGGTCTAAATAGAAATATTTCATCTTACTTTCTTTAATTCTCACCAAATTTCTTCAAGGTTATTAAGCATATGCAGTTTGCTACTTAGCATCCAAAAGGTACAAAGGTATGGAGAGAAAAGGGAACGTGAGTAATAGTGAGCCCAGAGAGGGAAAAATGAACATTAAGATTACCTGCTCATTTTCCTTCTGTCTCTAGTTCCAAACAGCTTCTTGTTCACTTACCATGTTGAAATAGAACAAGCGCCAATGAGCTCTTACGTCTGGATAATAGAGGTCTAAGATAATTTGGTCAAATTCACCATAACTTAAGACACATAGGCTGTGACAAAAGAGGCAAGAAAATGTGATTTTAACCAATATATATCTTGCAAATTTAATTGAAGAATAAAGTTTCTATAATGACTAGTGTTAGGAGTGGTGGGCTTCAGAGGTTTGCTGATGTGTTTGTTTTGGAATTCGTGGTATAGGAACTATGCATTGTTATATGCAATAAATTACCTTTCAATACCATCTCATTTTGGTTTCTTTTTTCAGATTGCTACATGGATTCAATGCAGAAGGTATACATTTTTCTTAGGTATCTGGAAAACAGAATTTTCCAAACTCAAGAACAAGAAACTGGAATTATATATTTTTAATAATTTGAGAAGATGAACTATGCCTTTGCTTCACTGGAACACTATGTGCTTGACTATTTCTGACTTAATACTACTACTGTCACCATTTATTACTCTGAATTTTTATGGTAGTAAGTCAGTCAATTCTAAGTACCCAAGTGTTTTTTGGTTGTGGTGTGTTTTTAATATCTAACATAGGGCAGGGTCCAATCTATGCATGATAATCTTGAAGAGCCGCAGGCACGCACAACTTTACACTTAAACTTATCATTTCTAACAGGTTATTGTATAAAGATGTTACTGTTCTATTTTCTGTTATATATTATATGAGGACCTCTGTGGGCCTTTGTCCCTCAAATAGTAAAAAAGTTAAAATATGCTTAACTCAGTCACATATTTCCCATACGATTTCTTTTTATTCATGTGCACAATAAAACAACTGCTTATTTTGCTTCTCTCGTTTCTTCTCTTTATCTTACACAGCTTCTTTCACTCACTGCCTATGCCTTTAAGCTGTCCTGTAGCATCATAGGCTCCATCAGGTTCTGGATAAACGTGAGTCCGCTACCGCCACCATGCGGTGGTGCCAGGCACATGACTTCTGGGCATGGTTCCTTAACTGAAATGAGGATGCTCAACTAGAATGAAATGAACTATAAGATGATAGTATGTTTTTTCTTGGGGAAAGCCACAGATTTAACAGAATTTCAAAGGGTTTTGTAAATCAAAACTGGCTTTACAGTTCAAATTCTGCCCTTCAACTTATTTAAAACAAATAAACATCTCAACCAGCCATTTTCTCATAACTAGAGGCTCTCAGTATTCATGTGACTTCGGGAAAACTAAAAGTTCCAGTGTCTTTTCATATACTGATGCTTAGTTTTAAGCTATTTTTAAAATGGCTGGTTGACAATGTCAATAGATGCCCTAAACAAGTCTTAACTAGCTACTATGTTTAAATCATTATCAATATAATACTAAGCGTTGTTAATGTCCTTTAATAAAGAATTATAGTACCTGATTATTTTATTTATATAAGGAAATTAATAAAAATATCTTAATTGATAACTGACTTTTAAAAAACCTAACTTAATAGAAAGACTGCTTCCAAATTATTTTAACAAAGGTACACTGAGAAAACCTAGGAAGGAAGTTGTTTACCTAAACAGATTTTTTTTGAAATCTGGCTTCAAAGTGATATAGTAAAACACTCCTATATAAATAAAATAATTACTTATTAATAGGAATATCAGCTTTCAAGAAATCTGAGAATGTTTAACCCAGATCCAAAAAATTCATTATTCTTTAAATAATAGCTGCATCAAGCCACTTTTGTTACATAAATATTAAATATACCTCAAGAGTAGGTTTTTTTAATATCACAAAACTACTTACTTTGCAAAATTCATTTGTACCATCTCTAGACTTATAGGAAAATTTTAAGAATTAATTCAGCTTTCCCTCTATTTCCTCTTCCCCTATGAACTACTGAGTTTTAGTCCCTTTTCTGGCCTTCAGTTTTCCCTATCTGTAAAACTGAAGGTTTGGACTATACCACCAAGATCTTTTTTGGTACTAATTTTCTAAAGACCTTGACTACTGATCAGAATGAAGCCATTATAGTATAAGGCGGCATATTTGAATATAAGACCTTCCAGAGATAGTATCCATCTTATTTAATTAATAAATCAAGGGTAATCTGTTGTGCTTTAAAATGAGCAAGTTCTCATCTCTTTATTGCCCTCTGAAGGTTGGTTAGCCTCAAAAACTACATTTTTAAGCAACCTCTGCAAGGTCAATAGTATCTGCTCCATTCTTCTCTTTGAAATACCACAAAAGAACGTATCTTACAACTGCAAGAAAACCTGAGTCCCTTCCAAAACAAAGGTGATTGTACTGAAGTAAATTATCTCTAAAACTCATTCCATAGATATCATTTATTAATAAGCACATTGTGAAAATCTACATTTGTTCTAGATTTCAAGTTTACAGAGGATCATTTCACCATGGTGTTAGGATTTCCCACAACTACCCTCTGGGTTCTATGAACAATGAAGTAGGGAATCTGGCTCATGTGACTCTCTATTCATAGCTTCCCTTTGGCCCAAATGAATGAGTAGTAGTTCCTTTGAGTAAATCAAAACAAGACATCCTTGGGAGACTTTTTGTTGTTAATCTACTCCTGGACTCTATCCTAGGAACTAAGGGAAAACTCCTAGAGAGATATATAAATCTTTTAACAAAATATTTACATGAAAAGTGGCCAGTTTTCTTCCTTGGAGTAGCAATCTGTAAAAATAAGTGCCACCATTTAAAAAGCAGCATACCCTAATCCAATTTATTGGCGAGAATTTGGTGATTCTCACCAAATAATGATGAAACATCACACATTAGGTAATGGATGGGGCTTGGGTTCGATCTGCCTTTTAAGGCAAAGTCAACCCTCTTTTAGCTTAATTCTTTCTCAAGGGAGTTATGTACTGTCTACACTTGGCTTAATCTAACAGTTCTATTATGGACTACTTTCAGTGTACATGTAAGTATTCATGCATCAGAAGCCAATTTCCTTTATCAGTACATTTAGGAGGTACATTTTGGGGTGCTAATGGACACTTTAACTTAAGTAATGGTATTGGTAAGGATCAAATTGCACTATTAGTCCTGTTAATACCACACTGGAACACACACTGCATATATATGTATTATCCTAAGATAAAACTCTTCTCAGAATTTTGTTACTTTTTATTATACACCAACTAGTTTATATTTTAGTTCTTTACAAAGAAAATGCTAAGAAAATTATAACCACATTATCTGGTTTTAAAATCATAATTCCAGATTTCTTTACATATAAGATGGAATGGTCCAGCAGCTATGTCCACTGTCACAGACTTTAGTTCCATTCAATGATATGGCACATCCTGCAAAATTAGCTAGTCACACACAAAAAATGTCTCAAATACAGTAAAAATGTACACACAATAAAGGTAATTTACAATGACAATTAAGGAATGTAATTTATCTTGGCTGTGCTTCAGAAATTTAGGGTCAAAAGCCTTAGTCAAGGCACAAAGCAGGAAGAGGTGAGCACAGCTGTCTCTAGGAGGGGGCAAGGTATGTACAATCACTGATGAGGTATGCATGCACGCAAAGGATTTAAAACTGCTCAGTCTTGCTACGAAAATTGAACCAAGTTAAAAGGAAATGCTGTGGCTTCCCCCTACTCTTCACCGCTGGATCAAGTCCACAACCTTACTTCATACAGAAAATAAAATTGGCAAGGATCTCCAAAAGTAAATCACTATCTGGGTAAATGAAACAAAATGCTTCACTATTCCCAAATCTTGGTTGTGCCTCCTCGACTAGAAGCATTTTGTAGACAAAGGAGTGTTTCACAAAATTGAAATGTCATTCAGGTGAAGGGACAAGACATTTTCCACAGACACTTAAAATTTCAAACTTTCAAATGGCCCTTACAGCTGAACCATTGTATGTTACAGCAGTGTGGGTTCTGGGGATCCTTTAGCAGCAAATGCTGATTTAAAGGGCACGGGGTCTCTTCGGGTTGATTTGCTTGCTGGCCTGTTCTTCTTCTTGTAGAGCTGCACGAAAAGATTTCACTTTATCTTGGAAAAAAGAAAAGAACAAGAGAATAAGTACTGCATTGCATGCAATACAGTATACAACTTCATGGGTCCTATCTAGTCAGCTGACTTACTTCATAGCATTCACTCAGGACTTTTCCTTTTGTTCTCTGTTGTCCAGAAACTCAGAACTAAACACAATACTCAATTATAGCAAGTTTCATTATTTAAGGATTCATGAAAATAACTTTCTTCTATATCTTCAACAGGTTTCTGTTCTGTTTGGCACATTTTACAGTGTTGAATTTTAGTTTATTTGAATTCCTTTTGGAGTACAGACAGGCTATCTACGTGTGTTAAATGTGTACAGTCATGTCCAAAAAACACTGTGAGTCTTTTTTTTAAGGAATCTCTAAGCCCCTCCGAATCTTATTAAACTGTAAAGTAGACATTTCTTCCCTCAATATTAAGAAATTTCTACTCCTGATGCCTGTTTTACCTTTTTAAGCTATGAAATTTCAAAGATGTTTGAGTTTTTAAAAAGAAATGTCATTTTGTCCTTATCAGGGATTGTAAAAGGGAATGGCGAAGGGGGATTATAGGATAATATATTTCTTGGTCTTACAATTCCTACTATTATGTATTAATTCAGAGTCCCATAAGAATAAGAACTAGGTAAATAAATTGAAAGAGGCAAATAAGTCAGCTGTGAAGATGAGAAATATCTCATCTCCTTTTATAACAGTGGTTCTTAACCACAGGTTATGTTCCCCCACCACCCCCCCTGACAACTGATAATATCTAGATATTTTTTGACTGTCACAACTGGGTTAGCGGCCACTGTCATCTAGTCAATAGAGACCAAGGATGCTGATAAGCAATGTACAATGCACAGGACAGCACCCTCAACAATTACACAACTTAAAATGTATTAATGGTGCAAAGGAGAAAAGAAAAGATTATCAGTTTGAATCTCAATTTCTTTCCCCTCTTCCAAAGAACAATGATATTTAAAAAATTAACTTCTGAAATTCAGAAAGAAATTTAAGGATCTCTGGATCTCATACCTGTTAATATAAGATAAAAACTCTCAAACTTCTTATGTTAATACCAAAATTATCTCTGGATAGTAAAAAATTTTTTTCCTAAAAAAATACAATAGCTAGACAGTAAGTAATTTCTTCAAAGTTATGGATACACTTGATACAACTAAGTTGAATGCCACATATTACAAAGAAAAAAATTACAGTTCATTATGATCTGAGTAAAATACATACAGAAAAGCTGCCTGTGAGTTCTGACAGATAAGAACAATGGTCAAAACACTTTAAATCAAGGCTTGAATATGAAGAATATGAAAAACAAAAGTAAGTTCTAGAAACTACACTTGTACCAACAATTCTGAATTGGGCAAACAGTCGTTGCTGGCTCTCTATACGATATGATTTCAAATAACCAATTTCACAAAGGACCTAGTTTAAAAATTAGCCAGTCTGGTGCTAAGAACTAGCAATTTCAATCTGGTTTCACATTGCATTTCATGTACACATACACAGATGTCCATTCACATATAAATGGAGACAACTAGTTTGCCAATGCCTCAGAAACAAGTACATACAATAAATGTGAATGTGAAGCGACACAGATAAGCTACTTAAAAAGCCAAAAAGACATGGCATGTGGGTAAGTCACATGCTTCCCTCCATTCGTAAAGTAGGAAGAATAATTGTTGAAAGGTCTTGAGTTGTTCAAGGTCTTGAAACCTTCCCGCTGATTTTTTAAAAACAAGTCTTCAAAGGAAAGACATGACACAGGTGCAGATAGGAGGCTACAGAAGGCATGGTCCTGAATAGACCTAATCTAAGCAAAATAATTCTGACAAGCACTGACCTATCAAACTAAAAATCTGAATGAGTGTATAAAACTTACAAATTTGTTAAAATCCATTTTCCCTCTTTAATCATAAGATGTTTTTATCTTTTCAAATGCCTAAAAGAAAAAGACAACTAAAGAGCACTTGAAAGGATACTCCATGTTTCTTTTTTACAAAAAACAAAATGACTAGTCTGTCTTTATACTTCTGGAAATGTATTAAATGGTGCCCATAATTTTTATTTCGGATATCCTCTTGTAGTATGAAATCCTGCCACCAATTACATACGAAGATGAAGATTTCAAGCACTAAAATGAAAAAGGAATTACCCCGCAGCTCAGTTAAAATGTCTATTTTTTGCTCAAGAATAGCTTCAAGTTGAGTAGCATATGAATCTACATCATAATCTACTTCTTCAGTCATCTCTAGGAGAGCCTTTTCATCTTCTAACCATCGAATAGATTCCTAAAAGGACAAAAGTTCAACAATCCAATAAGCCTCTTTGTAAGAAACCAATTTACAAATTTCATATATGTTAAATATATTCAAGCATACTTAAGATGGTATTCTCTAAAATATTAATAAGTATAAAACATCTTTATTTAGAAAGTAAAATTAAGAAATATTTCCTTAAATTCTAACACAAACACAAATATGATAAGCCAAGCAAGGTAACTTCATTTTTCTCCTTTTCCTTTACCCTGGGTAAGGGCTTGGGGAAGGAAATGAATCAAACACGTATCAATCAGTGAGCACAGTAATTCTCAAAACTTAAGTAGCTACCCCTAAAGTTGGGGAAGAATGGTATAATAAAGCTACGGAGCAATCTATTGAGGTCTGTGGTAGCCCAGAACTTGCAAATCATGTAGAATTTACAAATCCATTTGGGGCCTCACAGTAGTTGGGTCAAAGGTTAACCCTAAATTCTAAACACTAGGTCTTCAAAATTATCTTAACTGTAAGAGACCAATGGATAGTCAATTTTGGACGAGTCAAACATATCACTAAATAGTAGCTACTTACTATTCATAAATGTTTTAAAGGAAACCATTCTTAAGTGATTTTAGATAATGTGGAATTTATAAGTTTCATTTCCTAGCAATGTCATGAATCACGCAGATCATGAACAAGTTCTGATCATTCTGAATTAAAGAGGTTTTGGTTAGGTTTTTCTAGCTTTCATTACAATTTAATAGCTAATTTTTTTTTTTAAGATTTTATTTATTTGAGGTAGAGAGAGAACATGAGTGGGGGGGCAGAGGGAAAGGGAGAAGCTGACTCCCTGCTGAGCAGAGAGCCCAACGTGGAGCTCGATCCCAGGACCCGGGGACCATGACTGAGCCGAAGGCAGGCGCTTAACCAACTGAGCCACCAAGGCGCCCAGACTAATTATAACTATAGTATGTATTATCAGGCTGAATTAGCAACAGATATTAGCTATAGATATCTATTATAAAATTACATATATATATATATATAAATTAAAATACATATACATACCCCAGTATTTTTTTTCTTTAGCTATCCACTTAATCTTTTAAAACAAAACCCTATTTTGAGAAATGGCAGATCACAGTACAGAGGAACAATAAATCAAATTATAAAAAGAATACTGGATTGAAACTGAAAAATAACCAGTTCTGACAAAAAAACAAAGACCTTTTAGATTTCATCATAAAATGACAAGAGCGGGAAATGATAGTCTTTATACGACAAACACCTTGCTCCAAAAGGACAGAGACAATTTAAGACAACTTAAATTACAAGTGTCCTGTCTTGATTTAATCTAAACACCCAGGCCTCTAAATATATTCTCATAATAAGGGTTTGACTAAAACTGTAACAGTTTTCCTTTTTTTTTTAAAGATTTTATTTATTTATTTGTCAGAGAGATAGAGAGAGAACAAGCATGGGGAGCAGCAGGCAGAGGGAGAAGCAGGCTCCACTGAGCAAGGAGCCCGACGTGGGACTCGATCCCAGAACCCTGAGATCATGACCTGAGCTGAAGGCAGACGCTTAACCAACTGAGCCACCCAGGCATCCCAAAACTGTAACAGTTTTAATGAGGGTATATCCTATTCTCAACTTATAAAATAAATAGTTCTCTTACATTTTTGAGCCTTTTATCCAGGTGTTTAAATGGCCTACAGCTGAGTCATTTTAATATTTGTTTACAAATAAATATTTCTCAAACATCAGAGAAGGCACACAGGTCAACAGAAAGACTGAGCTATTGTTCACCTTTTTCTCAGAACATATTTATAGTCTCCATAATGATGTCTAAATGTTACCTTCACTTCCTCGTAAGTATCACTCTCCAGGATATTTTCTTTTTTTTTTTTTTTAAAGATTTTATTTATTTATTTGAGAAAGAGAGAATGAGAGAGAGAGCATGAGAGGGAAGAGGGTCAGAGGGAGAAGCAGACTCCCTGCTGAGCAGGGAGCCCGATGTGGGACTTGATTTCGGGACTCCAGGATCATGACCTGAGCCGAAGGCAGTTGCTTAACCAACTGAGCCACCCAGGCACCCCTCTCCAGGATATTTTCTTGTTAGAAAGGGGGTAGGTGAGGGAAATCAAACAGTAAATCATACAGTGCTTTTAATAGGCTGAACGTACAATGGGATGAGTATGTCACGAGTTACTGCGACAGGCAGGGATTTAACACCCCTCACTCATCTGTCACTGTAATAACCTTCCCTTTCCTAAAGTAATCTTCCACCTCTGCAAAGAAAGATCCTTCCTCAACTGTTCTGATAACCCTTTGAAGTTTTTCTTACTGATGTCAAATAAACTGGCCTAACATGGAGAAAGAGGTGGGGGAGCGCAGAAGTTCAACCCTTCTCTAAAAATGGACAACTAACAAAAGCAAATAAAGCAGAACAGTAGTAAATGAACTAGATCTTTTCATCATAGCACAAAAGAAACATTGTTTGTAACCACCCTTCATTTTCTGTTCAAAATATCCCATACACATACCCTACCCTACAAACACACATATACAATACACACAGCGGTAATTTTTTACATTAGAATAATATTCAAAGTATTATGAAAGTTCTTAATTTTCTAAGAGAAATATTTTGATGAAAGGTCCTGTCTTACTTTACCTGGAACACTGCCCTGTGATCTTCTACAACTTGTTCTTCCATTTCTACCATTTGTGAGACAGCTTCATGAAAAGTAAATAATTGGGGAGAAACTTCTTCTTCCTTAAGATGAACATAGTTTAAAAAATTAGGACATAAAGTTTACATTTTAAATGTTACACAAAAGTTTTTCCACATCATTTATAAAAATGTCATTTAGAAAATGAGGAAGTTTGCAAGATAAAGACTACTAAAATATAATATAAAAGGCGAAGCCACAACTTCTTTTTATGGGTCAAAAGTATTTGATGTAACACTCATTAAGACAGCCCAAATTTAAGCATATCAGTAAGGAGTAGTTTTTACTTAGTCCAGGCTTTACTGCAGAATTACCCTAAAAAGACAATCTCTTTTGGAATAATGCAACTTTTCAAAAATACATTTAATACAGGCTGTAAATACGCTAAAATATTTCCTCAGTATTGTCTACTTTTCACTAATAATTTAAGCCATATCATATATACGTCTTAAATATCTTTTATCAGAAAAGAGATTTCAAGATATCTTTTATGACTGTGACTATCAAATTAGTGTTCTGAAGGTGTCAACTCTTACTAAGTCTTAATTTCTGAATTACACCATATAGTATGTTTGCCAGTTTTTACAGAAATCTTAATTGACAATTGACAACTTTACCTCATCAACAAAAAACCCACAGACATAAATATAACATATTCTTAGTCCTACATCAAGTGAAAATTTCTCTAGCCTTGCTTTCTTTTTTGAGCTTCTTTCCCAACCCCAACGTCTAATGATTTATTTCCTCAAAATGTGGCTTTAGTTAAGATGAGGTTTACTTAAAATTGATTTATAAAATGTAAGTAAAAAAGCAATGTTTTTCAAACAAGATACACAATTCTATATGTATGTACAGATTTTGGTTAAATAGTATAAGTAGACATTTGATTTCAATCAGTATGCTACCATCCCTAAAAGTTTATATATATAATCAAGTTGGCCAAAGAACTTTCTATCTTTTCTTTGCGAAACAAGCATCTGTTTTTCTCAAGACATGCAGGCATACAATATATCATACGATAAACACACTCAACCAACTTTATTCATTTTATCTGCCCACCTCCCTGTCAAGCTCAGAACGTCCTCTTTCCTTTGTTTTAAGATATTATGAAAGTTCCTATCACTTCCGTGTGGTCTACTTAGAATACTTTTTTTGTCTATACAACTACTTCTGGAATGCTAATGTTCTTTATTATCTTCTACTTTGTGTACTTGTGTTGGTTTTATCTGTAGGACATGTCTTAGACACTAACCCATTCTAATTTACCTTGTTAAAACTTTAATATAACAGTAAGAAAAGGTACACATGCACCAGTAAACTTAACTAAAAGCTAAGGCTGAACCACCTCAGGATAGTTCCTGGGAGTAGAAAAATTCAGGGAAACCCACATATTCTCAAATATGGAGGAGGCTGCAAGAACTCATGATGTTACACTTTAAGTCTCTGCATCGGTCCTAGCCAACCTCTCCAAATTAAAGTTCTACAAAGACCCAACCCGGCAGATAGAAGAATAAAACGGAAAAGATCTGCTATAGAGGAGGCCTATCCTGTTTTCGTTTTCCAAATCCTTAAGAGGCACCATACCTAGGTACAGTGCATGGTTTGTTTCAAGAATTCAAAAAGCAACTATATCATCCTTCAAAACTTTTGGATAGGAGATAGACTAAGACCGGGATCTCATTTTCACTTTTTTATTTTCCATGGTTCAAAGTTTAGAACTCTTCTTTTAAACCAGGAACCTCAAGTTCCCTCACCTTTTAGAAAATCAGTATAAAAACAGATGGTTGGCTCATAGGCTGTATAGTCGGCTGACCCCTGGTGTAGATGGTAGTTTTCAATCATTAAGTTCTGCTACTGATGAACTGAACTAAAATCAGGTCATTATAACTATATTGTCACTCACGTTTTGTTCACAAAGAAGTTTCAGATCATCTCTCTGAGGGGAACTCCCCACACCCCACTGTGCCTCTAAGTCATCAATTTGATTTGGTGGGTGGTGCATGATCGGACGGACATCACCAGCAGCAGTTGGATCCACAGTCAATTCTTTCACCCTATAAATACATAAGAGGTACCTAAAATTAACAAACACATGCAGAGGAACAAGAAACTACCATCCTATTCAATAAAAAGGCAATTCAATTAACATATTAAGACTGATGATGTCAGCTTTCCAGATCAAGTTTATCTGAAATCTGCATAAAGACTAAAGGGATATTTGGCTGTTGAACTTTCAGAATTTACTGAGGTAACTGTACAATTATTTCAAAGATAATTATTGTGCATAATAACAATTAGCAAAAGTATGTAGATTCAGTATTTCAAAGTAAAAACAAACTATTTTTGCAATTATATAAACAGAAAAATGCTAACAACAGCAGTTAGATCAATAAATGATTATTGCCAAAATCAGAGAACTGAATATACTTTGTAGATTTTTAGTTGTTATAATGCTCTATATTAAAATAGCTACATGTGAAATAATCATATTTCTAATATATGAAGATTATAAGTTACAAAGTTCTATCATTTAAAAAATGTTTAACTATTATACTTCAGATTACACAGTGGGAGGGTACATGTTCTAAATCAAGAGGATCTTTGTTATTTCCTTGCAGACAAGGAAATTTGTAAGAACATAAGAATAACGGTAAACTTCTCATTTTAAACAAGACCGTTTACCTTTCAACCATAAATATGCAAAGATGACATCATCCTTAAAAATATGAGGGGAAACAGGAAGCTTGAATTCTAAATCAACATTTTAAAGCAAATAAATAAAGTACACAAAAATGAAGATCATGCAGTACAATCATCACCTGCCAAATGAAATGAAAATGAAAAATAAAATGGCTCAGAACAAAAGTATAAAGGAAGTATTTATATGTAACACAATTCAAAAGAAACTATGAAAATAAACATCTTATGCATAGAAGGAAGTAGACCTGGTAATCGAAGGAGAAAAGTCGTCATACTCATAAGAAGGAGAGAGATCAGGGCGACTGCCACTACCCTGTGAGAAGGGAATGTCTGATGGACTAATTCCAAACTCCTTTACTCTGCAGCACCAAAACAGCAACAAATTAAGAGAAAATGCTCTTGTAAAGACAGCAATGCACATTTCAAGTTTTTATTTCATATTCAGTTTAAAATTTTTTTTAAAAAAGGTATCAACATTGTTGTGACTTACTGTATTTAGAGTACTTTAAAAATAATCAATTTTAAGAAGCTTTCGAATTTTTCCGTCCTATCGATTCCTTAGTCCATAGTCCTTCCTTTCTGGTATACTTTCCCCTTTTCTCATGATCCTTCCTAAAAGTTTAACCAGACCATCCCCTAAATTTCAAATGCCCCTTTACAGCTACATGATAAGTAATCAAATTTCCTTGTGCAGTCAATACTGCAAATATTTTATTAGCATCAATGAGCCCTCAATACTCTTGCAGTCTTTTAAAACAGAACACAAGAGTATTAAGTCCTTATGGCATCCACTGTTTGTAATGAATTAATTTCTTTCCTATGCGTCTAGAATGGTTCCATCCATGGTACAAAATGAGAAAGCAGTTCCTCAAATAGTTTTCTGTGTTTGGTTCAGATGAAGAACCCTGGTTAAGAAAAGCCCTTTAGCAATGGAATTTAAATTGCTTTTGGTAATGTCTCTGATATTTATATTTAACCAAACTATGGCTTTTCTGACACCATCTTTGTGAGTCCCTACGTTCCTCTTGGGGTCATCCCACTTCATAACAGTAAGCTGTATTTATTATGTACTTCTACATGTTAGGTATTATGATTGTAAATTTTAGGCATTATATTATATACAACAATCCTGTGATATTATTTTTTGCCACTTTACAGATGAGAAATTGGTTCAGAGCAATAAAGTATCTTACTCAATGTCATTCAGTGAGAATGTGGTGTGAGGTTCAAAACTAGCTTTGAGTACAAACATTATGTTACTTAAGCATCCAATATACTGACCATCTTTTTCTCATTACTTCTTTTAGATTTGATCTAAATGAAATTACTGTTTTGTTGGGTCATAGACAGTCATACAGATCAAACTGATAATTTCATGTAGATCAAACTAATTTATTTCTTCTACTTACACTCTTTCTTTGACCTATTGGTAATGCCTGCTGACCCAGGTTCAATCCTAGATTCAGCCGCCCTTCATCCTTTACAGTCAACTTTGGAAAGCTTATTTACCACACAGACTGACAGAATCTAAATTTCTAACACTGACGTGATTCTTTTTATTCCAACTCCATTTAGGATTCTATCAGAATCTCCTAATTTAGATAACCTATCCGCCCCTAATAGGCTAATATTTTCCTCTATTCCAAGGGCTTTTGTCCAATTAAAACAGTAAATACTATATGCACGAATTATATTCCTCAAATGAGCTATCAAGGGAGGTTGAAAATCTTTATTCCTAGAGATTTGGAAAGAAAAGACAGAATTATTTGTCCCAGATGGTTAGTCATGTTGCAGATGAATTACATTACATGATAATAAATTAAAATATTTACTTGGACCTAAATAAACAAGAGGAACGGCCAGATACAGCATTTTCACATTAGGGAGATTCCTTTGCAGTTACAAGTCTGAAGACATGGAGGGGTCTTGTCTGTTTTAATTCTATAACATGGCAATATTCTGTTATGCTAGGCTGTTGCTCATCTCTCCCATGAACAATCTGAAGAAGCACTTTAATGATAAAAACCCCACATACCAAAAATGTTCATTATAAAAATGAATTAAAAGTACCATAAACATTTGCAGCTCAGAGCCCATAATTCAAAGTTTAAAAAGGATTAAATATAGAAATAAAGTTCCATTATATTTTTAAAGGAGTTATTTTAATATCTTTTTGCAAAATGTCAATAGGCTTATACTTTCCAACAGTTTTTACTATCATTTTAAAAAATCTCTTCAGTTGAAACAAATCAAATCACAAAAGAAAAAAAGAGTATGACCCCATTTATGTAAAGTTCAAATACAGCCACCTATGTTGTTCAGGGATACATTCATAGGTGGTAAAACTATTTTTAAAAAGAAGGAGAAAACCAAGAAAATTATGCCACAGAAGTCAAGGCAATGTCTACCCTGGGGGAGAGAGTAATGGATTTGGACATGTTATTCAGGATTTGTAATCAGGAGGGAACATATGGGGAGCTTTCGAGAGAGGCAGAAACGTTCTATTTCCCAATCTGATGATAGGAATTTACACTATATAAACATTTATTAGATTATTCACCTATATTTTCAGTACTTCTCTGTATACATATGTATTCCTGTTTTATAAAAAAAGATTAAAAATAAAATTTCCATAGCCATTAAAATAAATAGGACAAATACTTGTATTCGGCAAAATTAAGGGAATGTCCACAGTAGAAATGTTATACAAAGAGGAATTTGAGGGGCGCCTGGGTGGCTCAGTCGTTAAGCGTCTGCCTTCAGCTCAGGTCATGATCCCAGGGTCTTGGGATTGAGCCCCACATCGGGCTCTCTGCTCAGCGGGAAGCCTGCTTCTCCCTCTCCCACTCCCCCTGCTTGTGTTCCCTTTCTCGCTGTCACTCTCTCCGTCAAATAAATAAAAATCAAATGTTTTTAAAAAAAAGAGGAATTTGATCTCTAACAATTAAAATCACAAATGTAATATGTGATAAGAGAAACTGAAAACTACAAAATCATTTTTTTCAAAACAAGAGCAACAGGAACAATTTATGGAACAAATATAAATCTGTCTATCACAATCCAAAGTTCCAAGGGGATTTCATGACTATAAGGAATAAATTATTTTAAGTTTATAATGCTTTTTGTCCTTTCATTTGTAATAACATCATTGTCCATTAAATTCTATAACACTAGTGACAATGAATAATAAAATGTAACTCATATAGAACACCAGAAAAAAATGTGCTATCATTACTTATTCAAACCCCAGATTTCCCACACATGGCATTTAGTATTATCAGAAAAAATTTTTAGAAAATACATAAAACAATTTAAAAAATACAGACTGGTCCCCTTATACTCACTTAGACTCTTAATATAATAGGAAAAATTTACATGATTTAAATGTAGTAAAAAAATATGAAATATAACTTGGTGAAACAGAAAAATGTAATCGTGTTCTAGGATAGAAAGACCAATTCTACTAAAGATCTAAATCTCTTTCCAAATTACCCAAAACATTTCCATATATTTTCAAAACTTGACCAAATGACTCTACATATCATCTTAATGAATAACATGCAAAAAATTTTTTAAAATTGAAAAAAAATAATAAAAGTTATCCTGTCAGGTATTAAGTCAAATTAAATACTGCTCTACTCCCCTCAAATTTCAAACCGAGTAACTATTTGGCATACCTATTTGCATATCTTAATGTATTAAGAGTATTTTCACAGGATGCCATTCCTGGAGAGATTGTGGCAATCTAAGGGAGAAAAATGCAAAGGTAAAGAAAATGTTATAAATGATGAAAACAGTCTTATCAACATATTGCTCATTAAGATCTAATCTTAAAATAGTTATTTAAAATTAACATTAATTTGTGATATCTAAACTCCAAGATAATTTGCTATATCACACCCACAATCAGATAATAACTATAAGCCACATAAAATATAAACAACTCTCTGAAAGCACCAGAAAATGATTTAAATCAGACAGAAAATGGAGGTCAACACCTAGGAGGAAATAGCACTGAGTGTTCCCATTACTCCCTCCCCACCCCACACAACAGTTTTTTTGCTTAAGGGCAAGCCCCGCTGCTGTCACACAGGCCAAATAAAACTTCATTAGAAAACTGGAATTTCACTGGTTAAACTAAAGGACAGAATTTGAAGGTAGAAACTAAAGCAGCTAGAAAGTAAGGTTTGTCCCAGAAAAGATAATCATGGAGGAAGGTAATCTTGGCAACCAAAAATTGTACATATAAACTGCCCAAATCTCTGGCTGACTCCTGAACCGGGCATACATAAGGCTTACTCCAAGTAACATAGCTAAGTCTAAAAGAACAGTTTTCAATTTCAGCTGCTGCCCAAAGCAAGGGAGACAAGAGTCTGAAATAAGTTAAGTTCACTTCTTGCTAAAACAACAACAAAAAATCAATAATCTTTAGAACATAAGACAATCCAGAGTGTCTATATAAGTATTTATTCATAATAAAAATTATATAAACCAATTTTACTAGACATACTAAGAAAAGGAAAAGTGTGAACCATATGCAAGGAAAATAAAAATCAATGAAGACCAACCTCAAGAAGACTCAGAGATGTTGGAATTAGTAGAATGCATTATAACTGCAATATAATCCTCTCTATCAGACTGGCAGGGACCACATCTTAAGTATCACTGTATCTCTCACAATAGAAGGATTTAAATGATTGTTATTAATGTGCATTATAATCTTTCCATAGATATTGTGAGTTACTCATTATTCAGGGTTAAAACAAAACAAATAAACAAACATAAACTTACCATGCAGGTACGAGAATTTTCACCTATGAATGAATCTCTTAACACCTGAGTGAGCTTACTTGCTCTGAAAGGAGTATGAGGTTTATTTCTACCTAAGGCTCTGATGCACTCCTGAAAATTAAGAAAGCAAGTTTCACAGATTAGGGTCCTTATATAGAGTAATCTTAATTAATATATTTAAAAGACCTTTCATTATAACTCTAACATTTAAGATCTGATTGGCTCTGGAAATCCTACTAACAGGTTTACAGCATACTAAAGATGGTCTCATAAAGCCTAAGAAAATGAAATTAAAAACAGTAACAACAACAACAAAGTACTTATTATTCCAAAAGATTCTTTTGGAGACTCTGACTAGTATTTAGAAGTAATAGATAGGAGGATATAAGGCTAAACTTTGAAAGTGGCATGACAAAAGAAAAAACACAGAATGTTTTCTTGTAGTCTTGCCAATCCTTCCTTTCCTTTTTTTTTTTTAAAAAAAAAACATTTTATTTACTTATTTGAGAGAGAGAGAGGGAGAGAGCACAAGCAAGGTGGGGAGAGAGGGAGAAGCAGACTCCCCCCTGAGCAGGGAGCCTGATGTGGGACTCCATCCCAGGACCCGATCCCAGGACCACCAAAGATCATGACCTGTGCTGAAGGCAGACGCTTAACTAACTGAGCCACCCAGGCGCCCCCAATCCTTTTTCTATTCAAGGAAGGGATAGAATATTCGTCATTCTACATTTTTCTGAGACAGTATTTCCTAGCTGAGTTTTGTGGTTCCTTGCCTTCCTCTAAGATAATATGACTAATTAAAGCCCTGTGGAATCTTAGATCCTTTATTCACTCAAAAAAAAAATGAGTATGTGTGAAGAAAGTTCCTGGGTATAATATAAATCAATAACTGTAAACATAAATAAATTTTAATAACCTCTCTTCCTTACTAAATGTTACATGTACTATGATTTTGTAGCTACTCTAAACAAAATTAAAGTCAAAAGCAAAAGATTTTTCACAATTAAATACATGTTATTTACCTTGAGTGCTAAAAGGCTTTTATTAATTTCAGCACCTTCAAGCCTGGTTTGCCTGTCTGCACTGGAAGTATCAGCTCCTCGTTCATTTCCAGCCAAATCAATGAGAGAAAATTTGCCATGTAGTTTTCCTTTCCTTCTAAGAATAATCTGAAACACCGCATGGCTCCGAGATGAATGTGCATTTGCAGATGTTTGACCGGATGTTCTACAATGTGATTAAGGTTATTTTAGATACCAAAAAAACTTAAGTTTTTTTATGTTGTAAACCACAGTATTTCATCAAAGAACCCGCAAAAAACTATCGAGCTTTCATCATTTAAATACAAAAGGGACAATCTAACTTAAAACACTTCAACATAGCCAGATTCATACACTTTAATCTGGCATACTTCTAGTATATTTGTAGTATGATTATCAATATAGTAGATATCACTCAAAGTTATATGTAACAGTAAATGTTTTTATGAACAAATTTTTACTATCAAGATGCATTAAGTAACACCTTTGCTTTGTTTAGATACCCAAATTATCTAAAACTGATTAAGAAATTAATTTTCTCTTTCTTTGTTAAAATGAAATTTACCTGCAACTGTTACCTATGTCAATGAGTTTCAGTACATCTTCAACACATTTGACCTCCCGTTCCTGTAATCCCACCACTTGAACCTGCTGTTTTCCATCTTCTAGCACTCTTAATTTTGTTTTCCTGTTTAGCAAGTCAAACACCTGTTTAAAAAAAAAAAAATTAGAAAACTAGCTTTAAAGGAAAAGACTCAGTTCTATAAAAATGAATCGGAGTCCAAAAATTATTTCAGAAAATTACAATAATGCTCAATACTGAAGCTGAGACTTTCAAAGGGAATTTTTAAAAATCTCAACAAAATACTAACATAATATTCTAATACATATAAAAATATGTGGTGCAATGGCTGCACAACATGAATGTAGTTAATGCCAGTGAACTTGTACACAAAAAAATGGGTAAAGTGTTAAATTTTATGTTATATATATATTAAACCACAATTTAACACCCGTTTTTTTTTTAAGTTTCCACTTACCTTTCCACTATAAATTTCAAAAAAGGTTGCATATACTTGAAGTTCTAACTTCTTATAGTTTGGCTTCTTTAACATTAAAAAGACATCTCGAGCTGTCAAGAATTTCATATGGAGAAAATGTGTTAAGACTTTTAAATACTACCTTTTTTTTAAAAAAAGATTTTATTTAATTTGAGAGAGAGAGGGAGAGAGAGAGAGCATGAACAGGGGAGAGGGGCAGAAGGAGAGGGAGAAGCAGACTTCCTGCTGAGCAGGGAGTCTGATGCGGGGCTTGATCCCAGCACCCTGAGATCACGACCTGAGCAGATGCTTAAATGACTGAGCCACCCAGGCACCCTGCAAATACTATCTTTAAAAAGCAATTCAGGGTGTCTGGGTGGCTCAGGCAGTTAAGCATCTGCCTTCAACTCAGGTCATGATCAGGATCCCAGGAGCCTGCTTCTCCCTCTGCCTCTCTCGCTCTGTCTCTCATGAATAAATAAATAAAATCTTAAAAAAAAAAAGCAATTCAAATGTTCTCTATTTAGAGGAATCAGTTTATCTTTACCTAGAATGACAGCGTCAATAAAAAAAATGAAGACTAAAGTAAACATTAATTTTACAAAAAAAAGTAATAGTTTTTTTACACAAGTATAGATGCCACTCTCTTTCATATTCAATAAAAGAATGCTACTACTTTTTTTTTTTTAAGATTTTATTTATTCATTTGACAGAGAGAGACACAGTAAGAGAGGGAACACAAGCAGGGAGATGGGAGAGGGAGAAGCAGGCTTCCCACTGAGCAGGGAGCCCGATGCGGGGCTCGATCCCAAGACCCCCGGGATCATGACCTGAGCCGAAGGCAGACGCTTAACGACTGAGCCACCCAGGCACCCCAACTTATTCTTATAAATAACATAAAATTATAGGCGGTCATAGCAAGGTTATTCCCATAACCACACCAAACAGAAGCTTTTCACACAACAGCTATTCAACGACAAATACTAAGCTCCAATAATATGCCAGATTAAAATGACACAAATATAACCAAGATTCCTGTCCCAAAAGCTTAATCTCACAATTCTTTTCAAGTGGTCTAACAACCTAAAATTGACATAACATACAAATTTAACTTTACGGTTACCCTGAAAGTCCTGAACAATATTTCCAAGTTTTATTTCAAAGCCACCTGAGTAATATTCAAGAATAGTACAAATGATATACAAAAAGACAAGTTACCTGCTAATGCATAAATTCCTTTAGAACAATCTTGGTTCTTTCCAGAAAAGTCACCTCCCATAGTCTACAGGTTAAAAAGGAAATAATAATAGATATTATTCAGGAATAAATCTTAAGAATTTAGGTCTTAGAATTAAGCCATAAGGAAAATAAACAAGCTGTATAGGAGGATGTAACTAATGAATTACTCACATGAGTTTTTCCACTCCCAGTCTGCCCATAAGCAAAGCATGTAGCCATTCCCCTTTCAAATATAGTTTCCACTAGTGGTCTAGCTGTAAACCTTAAAATTAGAATGCACTAGTCAGAATGTGCCATCAATATTTAAATTAAGTAAATAAAATACCAAGTCTTATTAATAAACAAAACTCATACCAATATTTTTAACAAATCAATGGGCTCAACTGTCAGACTACAACTGAGCTCACTGATTTGTTAAAATTTTTAAATCTTATCCTAAAATTGCTTAAAGCTATTTAAAGCATAATTTCAACTAATTCCATAATAAACGATGGTCACAATGGACCAAAAAAAAGAAAGAAGAAAAAGGAAGTAACTGAGCTAAGACATGTGTACATAGAAGACAATATGAAAGTTTTAAAAAATAACAACAAAAAATTATATTAGGCAAAAGTAAGGTTTATACAATGAAAAGCAAAAAACCAAACAACCAACCAAAAAACCCACACCACCAGGATTAAAAGTTTTAACAGAAATCAAATCAAAAGAGTGATAATCTCAATAGAGAAAAAAAAAACTATAAAAATATTATCTTAAGGCCATCTACCCAAGTAGAAAAGTGAATGTAGCTAAGTAAATATAAATTATACTTATAAGACACTGAGCTTGGAGTTGATAGTCTTAGTTCAGGAGAAGGATGCAAAAATATTATGGCTTGAATTATTATTATTTTTAAATCTATTATTGTAATCACTTCTAGAGTTAAAATTAAAAGGAGGGATAAGAAATACTTCACTGGGCAGAGCTCTAAAAACTGTAATGGGAAACAAATTTTTTTTAATTTTTTAATTTTATTATGTTATGTTAATCACCATACATTACATCATTAGTTTTTGATGTAGTGTTCCATGATTCATTGTTTGCGTATAACACCCAGTGCTCCATGCAGAACGTGCCCTCTTTAATACCCATCACCAGGCTAACCCATGCCCCCACCCCCTCCCCTCTAGAACCCTCAGTTTGTTTCTCAGAGACCATAGTCTCTCATGGTTCCTCTCCCCCACTGATTTACCCCCCTTCATTTCTCCCTTCCTACTATCTTCTTTTTTTTAACATATATTGCATTATTTGTTTCAGAAGTACAGATCTGTGATTCAACAGTCTTGCACAATTCACAGCGCTCACCATAGCACATCCCCTCCCCAATGTCCATCACCCAGCCACCCCATCCCTCCCACCCCCCACCACTCCAGCAACCCTCAGTTTGTGGAAACAAATCTTTCTTTTTTTTATATAGGCTTCAAATAATGTATGCGGAACATTTTATACAGTTTTGCTGAATTTTTTTAAAGGAACAACTGAAAAAGGTACAGAACAAAAGGAGCAGGAAAAAGTAGTCAAACGGAAGTAGAGAATGAGTCTGCAGAGTGATTAGACAAAAAAAGGCCTACCTCGAATTTCCTCAAAGCTAAATAAAGGGGATAGCATCAATATTGGTAAAGTTAAGAAGCATATATATAAGGTAAAACAGAATGTTTACTAAATCTAGCATATTCAGAGAAACATACCTTATAATTATAAAGTCAGACTATTTTATGAAGCAGGAGTGGAAGTAGAGAAGGGAGTAGGGGTAAGAAAGGGACTCTATTCTCGGGTAAAAAAAATACACAATTTATATTAATAGTTCCCTTTTAAAACAAATTCTTCATAATACCATTTAGCATTCACACTTCCTTTAATTTTCTCTTTCTTTACAACTGAACTCCCAGTTTACTGGCTTAAGCCCAATGGAGCTGATCTCAATATTTCATTAATAAGTCTTCAATTCTTAGGACTCTTATTAACTCTTTTTGTTTTCCAGCCATATTTATAAAATGAAAAGGCAATGAAAAAGCATTCAAGTAACTGCCAAGACAGTCCTATATAGACTAAAATAGCACGCTGTTAAAACTGACCTGTTATAATTAGAAGGCAATGTTTACAAACTATGTATGAAAATCTAAATTTGGCATTCAACTTTGGGATATCAATGTGTAATACTTGTAAAGTTTGAATTATTTATAAGTTGAGTAAGTGAACATATAGAATTTCATGTATTACAACTATCCCAATGCTCAAAGATGATAAAAACTTGGCAAATGCAAGTAGGTTTACAGACCTTTTTTCCTTTTTGCCTTAAATGGTGGTGACATGTGAAATAAAGGTTTAGAAACTTAAGGATATAACAAATATTCCAAATTTCTTTACTAAAACAGAGATTAAAAAGCAAAAAGTAAAAGTCCCCTTCTAAGTACATCAAATTCCTAGAACTACAGAAAATGCCTACATTCTCCAGAAATTTCCTATCCATATATATATAAAATGTATGAGATATGTGTATATTAGTAATAAAAACTATGATTTTGGGGTAACACTAAAGAGAACAAATAGTAATACTCATTATTGTGTTTATACCATAACCTTTGTTTAAACTCAAAATAAAAAAGCATATTGCCACTTTTGGAGAGATATGCCAAGATCAATGCAAGGTTCAGGGTGGTGATAAATATACAGCATAAGAACAAAATTGTTATTTAAAACAAATTTACCTACCTGTAAACCATTTCATTAGGAGCTGAGTCATCAAAGGCATAATCAAAACGAAATGTTTGGTTTTCTAGGTACCTTGTTAAATCTACTTTTTGTTTTGGTTCATGTACCATCACAACATCTTTACTAGGGATTGTGATTACATCAAGATCTTTCATTTGAGTTTCTAAAAGAATAAATGAAAATTAATGCCCAGTAATTTTCATAGCATTTCAATGTAATAAGTACTTTCTAAAAAAGTAGTAAGAATTTTAATAGAAGTATTAATTCTATAAATATAAATCTCATAAATATGCCATTCAAGAAGACATATTTCAACAACCAAGTAAAAAAAAAATACCATCAAAATTTATGTGAAGCAAGAACCAGAAATGGAATGACTCATAGAGTAATAACAAATCAGCAGATCTAACCAAAGAAATCTGCATAATGATTATGTACAAATAAAATGATTTATATTTAACTCTTCCAAACGAATTTAATTTCTGCTATCATGAAAATAAATACCAACTGGACAAAATCAACCTTTCATTAAGAGTTCAAAAAGCGTCATACCTTTTTTATTGAGTGGTCGTTTTCTTACACAAACACATATCCTATGTTCATCAATCTAGAAATAAAATATTTTATTTCAATATTTATCAGTGTTATATAAAACACTGAAAAGTCAGTTATGCAATATTTCCTACAGAGATTTTAGAAATTTATGCATTGCATAAATAGGATAAACTTAAAAAACAAATTAGGATGTACAAATTTTAATAGTTAAAAGACCATGATTTCTAAAATTCTGAGCATAATGGAAAATTACTCATTTTGTTATTTGGTAAACAATTAGGAAATAACTCGTAGAGGCCTCTACTGTTCCTATTAGTAGCATAAGGTTCACATTAAGAAGCTGCCTTACTTCAATATATGCTGCATATAACAAAAGCAAAATTTCCTACCAAGTAGTGTACTGTCAGGTTGATTAAAGGGAAAGGTGTTGACAAAGATAACTAAGAATAGCAAGAAATGCAATTCTCAGATTATTGGTGAGCAAAATAACTCCAACAATTTTATAATAGCCAATTCTTATACATTAACATTTTTTTCATAAAATTTATGCTCCCAATACCTTTTAATAATAAATCTATAACACGGGGATTGGCAAAATATGGTCTGCGGGCCTAATCCAGCCCACTACCTGCTTTTGTACAGTTTTAATGACACAGTTGCACTCATTTGTTCACATATCACCTATCACTGCTTTCAAACTACAAAGGCAAAATTGATTACTTGTGATGAAGACCATATGGTTCACAAAGCCGGAATTATTTACTATCCGGGCCTTTTAAGAAAAAGTTTGCCAATCAGATGTAGTAGATTAAATACATGTAGGGTAGCAAGGACTAAACTATACACACAAGTATTATGAACAACAACTCTGAAATCCTAAACAATACATCAGCCTGACACAAATGTATTTTATCTACCCAAGGTTGTATATGCTAGGTCAGATGGATTATTTTTCTTAAGTATCAATTACTCACAAAATAATCCCTGTCCAAAAAATTCTCATTCTTTAAGAGGAAAGTAGTTGAGTAATAGGGAAGCAGAATATGTTTTGAGCACGAGATTTCTGGTCTAGTATGGTCCTCAACAGCCATCACTTACTGTTAAAAAGCCAGACTAACATTTATTTAAAAATAACAAATTAACTAATAGTAAATTAGTTTGATAGTGGGAATTTATAGCCCAAATCAAAGAGGAAATAAGCTTGGAACTGGGATAAAAGTTTCAGTGATGGTCAGAAAGGAGAATGGGTCTTCTGACATCATTCCTTTAACTGCTGTTCTGCTCTATCAAAGACAGAGAGGCTTTGCTTTGAAAAGAACATCTCTGTGGGAAGCATGTCTGATAAATCAAATTATGGGAGATAAGCATAAATGTGAATGATTTCTTGATTTTCACCTTAAAACATGGGGAATGTACACCTATAAAGAAAAAAAAAACATTACACAGCTAAATCCAGTACTAAGTGGGCACTGAACATGTTTTGTTTTGTTTTTTTACAGCACAAAAAAATTCCAGAACAATAGTTTACAAAGAATCTTACAGGATCTGCTGTTGTTAATGGTCTATAATCCAAACTTCCTCTAAAGTCTCTGATCATACACATAATTTCATAATTTGGGTTTGTAGCATCAACATCCTATACGGAGACAGAGAAAATTCATCATTTATTAACATTACAATAATGGATATTGTTGCATTTATGTTTTTGTTTTTTAAGTAGGTTCCACACCCAGCATGAAGCCCAATGTGAGGCTTGAACTCACGATCCTGACTGAGATCAAGAGTCGGACGCTTAAGTGTCTGAACCACCCAGCTACCCCTGTTGCAAATTAAATATGGTTTGCAAATTAAAATTAAATTCATAGGTTGTGGAGTGTCTGTTTTACTTTTAAGTTTTTAAAAAATCAATCAATCAATCAATCAATCAATCAGGAAATTGTGTCATTGCCAAGCCCAAACTCAAACTAGAGGCATCATAAAATTTAGTTTCAGAGTTCAGGATTAAAAATATGCCCAGTAATCATATTTCATATTAAATACATAATTCTGTTAGTCTACATACATTCTGTTAACTGTAAACCAAACAGTCCTCATTAAAACCACCCTTGAATTATTTCAAAAATTCATCTGTTACACATATGACTTAATCATCCTAGAAAATGAAGCAAGAAATAGTGCTCATCTTAAACATCAATAAAGAACTCTAGAAAAACTGAAATTCTACAAAAATTCATTTAATCAGATTTTTCTTCACCATGCTTAATCCAGTTATCCAGCAAAGTCAAAATAGAGATTCATTTATGTTCATTTTCTGTTTTGGTTGACTCGCTAAAAAAATTTAAAAACCTAAGGCATGGTAAAACCACCTCAAATGAACAGGACTTAAAGGAATCAAAAGACAAGATAATTTTTGAAACCTTTAAAATTCAAATTACTGAATGTTGACTGCAATTTACTTTTTTGCTTCAAAACTGAGAAAATTCAGATTAAGACACACGTATCAATAGTTAACAGCCTCTCTTAGCCATGAGTAATAAATTATTAAACATTCTAGGAAGTTAGATTTTTTTCATGCACCATGTGAAGATTTGCTTTGAATATAAATTTCAAAACTGTTAAACTTACTTTCAATTAACTTTCTTTTAGGAAACAACACCAACTATGTCAATGGAAAAAGTGAATGTAAAGTTAAAATTAAGGGATCACAAAGAGATATGAAAATATTATGAAGTTCCCACAGGAAACACCAGGTGGCATCCGTGCTAAGTATCAGTAGATCTATCTGTATTGTGTTTTACTTATTTCAAAACCCAACTGGCCATTCTCAGATCACTTTAAGATATAACCTGATTTATTCAAGTTGAATTTTATACTGGTTCCTAATTCCATAACACAACATCTTTACAATTAAGGGCATTTGAATATACTTCTAAATAAAGAAACAATCCCGACGTTTTAATAGAGGAACAAGTTCTAAGAATATAATAGATATAATACAAGCACATGAGAAATTATATGCACAGAAACAGAATTTCTAATAGGTGAAGAGCTATATAGAGATAAAAGACCAGTCTTCTATAAAATTTTTCCATTGTTAGTAAAAAGTTTTGTTACCATCTAAAGGAAACATGAGAGGCACAACAGAGATATACTTTTAATATCTAGTATAAATTAAAACAGAAAGAATTTCCCCTTTCATTGTGATATGCTGGATTTACTAACCATGGAAAAACAATAATAAAATTTGTAGTATAATCGTCTACTTTATAATCATCTACTTTAACTAGATATTCTTCTGAATATATTTTTAGATCTTTTCAGAAAGTCAAAGTCTTATTATTCTTGAAAGGTATAATGGCTGCGTTAGAATTGTAACACAATGGATTATTATTCAAAATGGAACAAATGTTAGGGCTACACATATCCACTAAAACGTGAAAAGTACATGTAGTAAAAATCTGTTACGGTAACATATTTTCACAAGAGTTTATATTATTTCTTATTATCAGTTTAGATTTCAACTAAAGGAACTATATTGAAATCTTTAATTGAATGCCTCAACTACTTTTTCAAAAGCAAATCACTTTCACTGACACCATCTACATCTTCAGTTCATGCATAAACAAAATTTGTTTCTGTTACAAACCTGGGCTCTTTTTTCTCTAAGTTCTTGTTGCTGTAGTCTTCTTTTTTCTCGTTTTTCTTGTAATTTCTCTACTTCTTTCACACAATTAGATTTTCTACGTGCTGAAAGAAGAAGATGAGCTGTAGAAGTTCAGCTGTCTTTTTTACAGTACTGTACTTACACTCAAAAATTTTATGTATAATTTCACCACATACACCCAAAAAACGGTACACAGTGACAAAGCATGCCTTTAACAACTATGTGAACTTATGAGCTGCTTTAACAAAACCAGGAACAGGACAATATACAGATAGCAGTCAAGAAAAATGAGTTTAACATATTGATACATGTCATCTCTTGGTTTACAATCACAGATGTATGAATTGGAAAGGATTGAGAAGTATAAGAAATACTTCCATAGCATCTGTCAAATTATCATCTGACCAGAATTTTAAATTCAAAGCAAGTGAAATATTGTTATAATTTTGTATTTGTAAATTTTCTCCAAAATATACATTTCAAAACCCAATTAACAGACTAAAGTAACAAAAAAAAAAATCTTCCACAGTGGTGAAATGAAATCTGCAATCAAGCTTATAATTAGACTCTTTACCATTTGGGGACTTCTAAGGATGACCAAGAGAGAATACATGTATGCCTAAAATGACTGAATCCTCGATACATGATTTACATACAAGGGGGTCCAAATTCCTTTTTTGCAGCTTGAACTGGAGATATATCTGAAACACTACCATTCTGTTGTGCAGAGGAAGACTGCTCAGGAAGCTGACTAGGCCGTGCACGTGCAGAACCAACCACTGCAAGTGAAACAAAAATTTTAAATTCAGAACAGAAAATCAGTAAAGGTGAACCCTAGTAAAAGGAACAGAGATATCTCAAAAGAACTGATACTTATGAGCTGTCAGTTTTCTACTTATGTGGGTATAAGAGAATATGTAATAATCAATTTTGTTCAATAAACTAACAAGCCAAGAGGTTTTCAAGGTAATATGTGCAGAGACTTGAGTTCCACCAATGTAATTTTAGCTACAAAACTCAATTTGAATAATTTATGTTAAAACCAAAGCCAAGCTCGACTTTTAATAATCATTTAAAAAATATAAGTGTGCAGGGGTGTCTGGGTGGCTCAGCCAGTTGAGTGGCTGGCTCTTGATTTCGGCTCAGCTTATGATCTTAGGGTCCTGGAATCAAGCCGTGTCCAGCTCTGCATGTAGCAGGGAGTCTGCTTGAGGATTCTTTCTCTCTCTCCCCCTCTCTCTTTGCCTCTGCCCCACTTGAGCTTTCCCTCTCTCTAAAATGAATAAATAAATCTTAAAAGGGCCCCCCAAAATATATATATTTAAGTGTGCAAAATATAAATTTTAAATTTAAATGCGTTGTCATTTTGAAAAATTTACACAATTCTGAAGTACATAAAGTAAAAAACACTCCTTTGACCCTCCCTGTAATTCCAAATCCACTCTGCTCCTCAAAAGATGCAAATCTTCAGCAGAGAATTTCCCAATGTATATGTTATAAAAGTGGAAAAATAAATATGAAGTAAAATATAAGCACCACATTTTACAAAGCAATATAAATTTTCAAAAGATTGAAGGGAAGGATAGTTTTAAAGTGCAGGACTTTCCCTCTACCTCCAAGCTCTCTTTTAATACCTACTGCCTGTCCTGCCCCATGTACAGAGGAACATCACCACCAGAAATTACAATTCTGAATTGCTGAAGGGTAGAAAAGAAATTAACTGTGCTTTACATTTCCTTGCTGAAAATACACGGAAGACCTGCAATTAACTGCAAATTGTACCTGTTCAACTTTTCTTTAGCTGACTCCCAAGTTACCCATGAATCTTTTGGGAAGACTGTTAGCCAGAAAGTCACATAAAATGGGATTAGATTTACTCCTGTGAACTCAATGAACTGACTACTGCCCCATTCCTCTCTTTCTCATGGTACTCTTCCCAGATCTGCAAAGTCATTGGGTAAAGGAGATTAATCAAAAATTGCATATAACAGAGTTTCATATTCATCACTTACCTTAATAAATCATTTTTTATATTATTGACTTTTTTCAAGATTTTATTTATTTGAGAGAGAAAGAGAGAGAGCGTGAGTCGGGGAAGGGGCAGAGGGAGAGGGAGAAGCACATAGAGAAGCAGGTGGAGAAGCAGGCTCCCTCCTGAGCAGGGAGCCCCATGTGGGACTCGATCCCAGGACCCCAGGGATCATGACCTAGCCCGAAGACAGACACTTAACTGACTGAGCCACCCAGGCGCCCCTATTATTGACATTACTGTATTAGGAAACCAAGAAGATACCAATCTTCAAATTAGCCACATAAAGTTTAAATGAATAATAGTGTCAAGGGTAATATTCACCTTTGATTTACCTTGTTGGGGCCATACTAGAAAGTTAATAGACAAAATTAATAGATAAATGTTTACCTCTGTTATCTCTTGGAGGAGGGTCATTCTTAATAGAAGCCACAGTCCGTCGATTCTGCAAGAGAAAAATAAAAACGCTCACTGTACTTTCTCTCTTTACTCCTCATATATTTATCATAATTTGGGCTTCCTTTAATTAAACAAAAGTAGGTAAACATAATATAAAACTAAACAGAAAAACTATAAATAATCTTCTAATAATTACTACTAATGCCATCAGTATTCAAGTTTTTTATGTGAGTATTGCCCACCACCTCTCCAGAAAATGCAATATTCCAGAATTAGCACGAGGCAGGCACTGCTCATATTAAGTCACTCAATCTTCACAACAACCCTATGGGGTCATTACTATTATTATTCTGGTTCCATAGATGAGAAAACTGAAGCAAAGAGAAGTTATTTCAGTAAAGGGTATAGTTTTAGCCACCATGCTAAAACCATGTAATACATTTCAAAGGTATGTATTACATTTCATCTTTGGATGTCAGAGTAATCAATAAAATACTGGTTTTAGACAACCTACGATCTAACTATTAAACATCAAAATACCGGGATAATGCTCACTGTCATTTATACTAAAAGACTTTTAGACTTTCAAAGACTTGGAACTGCATAGACTAGGGCAGCAAATTTTTGATCCTATCCTTTATTTACCAAGACTTCATTTTATTCACCTGAAAAAAAGGTATCAAATAATGTCATGGCTCTCAACGCTAGAGAGAACATTTGCACATTTAAATCAGATAGTAATTTTAAGAGTAATTAAAAGAATATTGATGCGAGGGCCTCAATTTAGAGAAAATAAAACTGAACTGCTGGGAGTGGACAAGGAAAATTCTATAAGTGATTTTAATGCATAGCAAAGGTTGTTAATGACATACGAAGAAGGATCATCATTCACAGCTGTGAAGCCAAATATGAAAAACAATCCATCTACAAGTCATAACTAATGACGTCTAAGCAGTGACACTCAATATGCTGAATTATATGAACTGAAAACCTGCTTTATGTTCACATGCATAATTTAAAAGGTAGAATGCTTTGCTGGTATTGTTAAGCTTCTATCACATGATATTTGGATACTGATGTATGTCTTCCCTGTAAGACATCAAGTTCCTCTAGGGTTAAAGTCATGTAATTCATCTTTGTGATAAAATCAACAATGTAGAAAAATTAACAAATGCTTGTTGAACTAAACACACAGAACTGCAGATTCAACAACTGTGAGTGACTACCTGGTTTCAAAAGAGCTGCACTTTAATACACAATTTTAACAGTGAGAAATTTCAATAGGAAGGAAGAGGAATTATCTTTTAAAGTAATAAAAATGGCATGGCTTTTATTTTTATAAAGATAAAATTGTTAGAGAGGATATATAGCATGGTCTTAAGTTTATCTTCACAGATAATACAGAAGTAGTTAAACTGTACTCTATCATTTCCCATCTTTCTCTAATAAACATAAATAGCAGAATTACTATTTTCAAAGACTACTGGAGTGGGAATTTATTATGAATAATAAACATTCTTTCTTTATCTAAGTCATATGTATTCCCTCAACAAACACTGACAAGCAAATGGTTTTGACATCCCTATCTCCTGGGGAGCTATTAGTCTTAGGAAAAATCCTAATCAGGAAAGAATTTCTAAGATTTTACCTAATAATTATTGTAACTGTGAACTGGACAACCTCAATCCTTGAAAGAATGTATGCATAAACATGGCATGTAGGTGGCAGAAAGAATTACAGGTTTTTTTTTAAAAAAGCAAACTAATACTTAAAATATACTCTTCAGAGCCTGTTCATTTCAAACCAGAAAATACACACGCACACACACCCCACACACCCCTAACTCTAAATTTTCATTACTAACCTTTACAATTTTGTTTACTTTGGCTGAAGATGTTGGAGGTGGAGGTGTTTCTGGACTGGGTTCAATTTCTTCATCAGGTACAAGGTCAGGGTTAAGTGAAAAGATGCTCTCAAGGTCAATCTGTTTTAAAAAAATGCATGTATCTTTAGAGTACATTTTGACAATTAACCTTTTATTTTACAAATTTACACACAATGATTGTCAAATGATTTCAGCCTCATGAATAGTACTGCCTTAAAAACAAAATTATCTACAGTTGCAACCCACATATTAGGACAGCTATTAAGACAGCATTTTGTGGTCTTGATAATATGTCCCAACACACAACGTGCAGGAAGAATCTACCTTTCTTTGAATGAAATGTTTTAATCATTTGAAAGGTTTTCTAGAAATGATAAAGAATACATGTACTATATAAAAAAGTATATACTTTTCAGTTTTGTTTTATATTTGGAACCTTGATTGCAGGACTAGAAATAAAATTTAGCTCAGTGATTGGGGCGCCTAGCTCAGTCAGTGGAGCATGCGTCTCTTGATCTTGGGGCTATGGGTTTGAGCCCCATGCTGTGTGTAGAGATTACTTAAAAATGAAATCTAAAAAAAAAAATAAAAAAAATTTTAACCCAGTGATCATACCTCTTTGCCTTTTGTATCTCCATTTTCTATCCATTCAACAGTTACACTTTCATTATCTTCATTTAAAGACGTTACCATTGCTTGATGTATTCGGCCTAAGTGGCAATAAAATATACATTTTAATCCATAAATTATGGTATTCCTAAACAATGTCAAATACAGTTTTATAACTTACAAACTTTTGGAAGACCATGATACTAGTTTTCTTACGAGGGATTTCCACACTCTCACACAATTAGGGAATGAACTTTGTCCATGCAATCATTAATCAATGTGCTGTCAAGACCAGAACTCAAGAAACTGGATTAGACTGAAAGTGTATTTTCAACAAACATGGAAAATGGTTACACAATGGCAGAGAATGTCTGAAATTTTATACCACTATATAGTTCTAATCATTACAAAGTTTCCTTATTATGAGCTGACACTGACTGTAGAACAAAACAAAAATTCAAAAACCAATTTTTTATACTAATATAAAACTTTCTATGTAAAAACCACTATCATATATTATACAAATTGACATTATTTTTATAAGATTGAGAAAAGGGTTCTAAGTCCAAAAAGGTTGGAAAATGTAATCTAACATATTGTCTTTCTGCATGCTGCCTATCCAGACCTATTCTATACCTTACCTTCTCTGGCAGCTACCTAGTACTTACCATCTGTAGACAGAGGACCTTATATCTAATGTATTAACTTGTTTTCCCTCTCTTAACAGACTGTGGATGTTACTTGTTAATAACCGTAGTACTAAGTAATTATTTTTAATTATTACAGAATATTCCATTATGTTTATTACAACTTACTTCGTATCTATTGATGGTCACTTAGGTTATGTGCAATTTTTTGCTATTATAAACACTACAATGAATACTATTGCACATGTGTCATTATACACTTGTCAGATTATTTCTTTGCAACAAATTCCTAGAAGCAGATCAATAAGTGTTATAAGTGTTTGTGTATTTTTTACTTATTTATTTTCATCTTACCCACCCACTTATTAATCAAAGAAGGATAGAAACTATTTGTTATAGATCCGCATCTACATATTATTTAATAAAATGCTGAACACACGGAATTTTCATATGTATTTCCTGAATGAAATCCTAGGGACATCAATAATTTACCTTTAGTTTATACCTCTTTAAATATCTAAAAAAAACCCAAACAACCCCCCAGCTACATAGTATGTAAAACAAACAATGTTATTGTAATAATAAGGCACTTACTGAGATAAGTGGACATTAGCGAATTGGGTGTTGGGGGTAGAAAGAAATAAGCTGGAAAATACTGGGAGGATTCAAGGGAGAGGCTTTTAAAAAGGGAAAATTAGGTAATATTTACTGCAATTTGATATGGGCAAAAATAAGGTAAACAACCTGAAGTGATATGTGTCAGTCAGGTCCACCAGGAAGCAGATATTGAGACAGGAGGACAAGAGTTTTACTGTGAAAGATAAAAGGGGGAGTAAAACAGGACTAGGCATGGAAAACTTTCACACTGTGATATAGATCTGAAACCTGTGAAGGAAAGGGGACATAAAATAGGACGGAGCAGACAGAGACTCAGACCCTGACACAGATCTGACAAAGTGCTGGCCAACCCAGCAGGGAGCTCCAAAGCAAAGACTGCCTATTAGAACTGTCCCACACGGGGCCAAAATGGAAATACCCCTAGTATCCACACCATGCTCAGTCACTAGCTGGAGGTTTCCCAGGAAACACAAGGCCTCAGCACAAAATCTAAGGAGCCTAAAGGTATTAATACCCAGAGGCTATGAACTAAATGTACTCCCTGGAGCTGAAAGAGTGGCTGAGTTCCTTAAAGCGAGATCCAAGCAGTGTATCTACACAGATACATGCAACAGGATATGAAAAAAAGAGAGACTGAGTTTAATTGGTAGCAGAAGAGTGGACCCCAGAGAGCCATGACCTGCCCTGATGCAGCATTATAATATAAGGAGGAGCTACCAGCAGTGGTAAACAACAACAAACCCCACATTTATCACCATCTCTACAACATGAGTAGTGAGGCTAAGACCAGCAGCTACTGTCTCCCAAACCTACCACCCTTGACAGCCTTAAATAGCAACACCCACTACCAGGATCGAGATGACTGCAGCAAAGGTTTTGGGAAAAATAAAGCATTTTAATATAAGACATTGATATGATTTCATCAATAGGAAATGACTCCAAAGAAGATGTACTTAAACACTAGACTACCATAAAGAATAACTTTCAGCAGGAAATGGAAAGGCTGTAGTTGAGGTTGAAGAGGAGAAATAAGGGGTCTCCATGCAATTACCAACAGAATTACCATGATAATGAGAATGAGGAAAAGCATATCATGTTGCAAAAGCAAGACCAATACCACATTCCTACTGTTAAGCATCTACTACAACATTCCAACTTCCCTTGGGAAGGAGTAGACTACAAGACCTATCTCACAGGGACCTTAACCTCCAAAGACAGCCTAGAGACATGAGCAACAAAGAGGATAAAGAAAATCAAGATTTTCTTTTCAAAACCCATTACCAGCAAACCTTAACAGTGGTACCTCCAGAAGTTCAATTACCAATGCAGACACCAGAAAACCTTAAGCCACAAGTTAGCAAAGTCAAAAGCAACTGATCCATTAGTTAAAAATAAGCTCTAGAGGTTTAGAAAGGCAGACCTGAGAAAATGTTGGCTTATCTCTACCATGGTCCAGTTTACTTAGCCAACAGGAAGAAAGAAATATGAAATTCCAATAACAAGAAATGAATAAAGACCAGTGCTGAATGAATGAATCAAGTCGTGTTTGCTTTTTTGCTGATGGGTGAGATAACCAGAAATACCTGCAGTATGGGGTTTTGATTATTTTTATCAAAAGCTGTCTCTAAAAAAATGTTTTAAGTCTAACTTTACCCAGTATGACTTTAAAGGTTTATTTATCTTTTTTTTTTTAAGGATTTTATTTATTTGTCAGAGAGAGAGCACAAGCAGGGGGAGTGGCAGGCAGAGGGAGAAGCAGGCTCCACGCTGAGCAGGGAGCCCAATGCGGGACTCGACCCCAGGACCCTGGGATAATGACCTGAGCCGAAGGCAGATGCTTAACTGACTCAGCCACCCAGGAGTCCCTAAAGGTTTTTTAGAAAGCATTGTTTTATATATAGTTCAAGTGAGATACTAAAATTTCTCATTTTTAATTGTAATAAAAAATATTTTTTTTCCAAAGCATCCCATTTCTCTGGTTTGAGAAAATTCTGTATTCCAACCTCACTAATTCATTGTCCTTTGACTCTCCGATACCCCTTTACTTTATTGTAAATTATATCATATACACTTCTACATTAAAAAAAAAGAGAGAGAGAGAGCAGCATACACCTGTGTATCCACCACCAGTCAGGTTAAGAAACAATACCTCTGAGGGGCACCTGGCTGGTTCAGTTGGTGGAGCATGCAACTCCTGATCTCGGGGTTGTGGGTTCAAGCCCCACGTTGGGTGTAGAGATAACTTAAAAATAAATCTTTAAAAAGAAAGAAACAAACAAGCAATACCTTTGAAACTCCATATGCCGCCCTCCCTAAGTGAATTTCCCTCTTTTTTCTTTTTAATTCTTAAAATTTTTTTACCATATTCCCTTCTCTCTTTTTCCCCACCATCACTAGTAACCAGTATCCTATATATTTGAGATAATCATACTGTGGCTTTTCTTTATAGTTTTACCACCTACAAATGTAACACTCAAAAAAATACCTGAACAGCCTACCTATTCTTAAGCTGTATAAATGGACTGACACTACTTTAATACTCGTTTCTGTCATGCAACACTATTTCCCCCAAGATTCATTTATGTTGTTGTAAATAAGCGCAGTTCACTTATTTTCACTACATATGAATATGCCAAAACCTACCTACTCTGTTGATGGACATGTGTTTTCATGTTTTTGCTATTAGGAACATAGGTGCTGTAGGCATTCTTATACATGAATACTCATAAAAATATGCAAGAATTTCTCTAGGATGTGTAAGAAATATAGAGTACACAGGTCTGTAACTTTTCTAGTTAGTGCCACAATGTTTTCCAGAGTGGCAGGACCTATAATGATTTGTATCCAACAATTACTTCACATCCACATGATGCTTAGTATTTGTCAGATTTAATAATATCACACTGTGATTCTACTTTCTCTGACTTAATGAGGCTGTGCCTATTTCTGTGTCTGCTGGCCATTTGGACCTTTTGACTGTTTTCTTCTTCCACTTCTCTGAAGAAATTCCCCATATACTCTTGGTATTAATCTTCTGTTACACGTGTCGCAAATATGTTCTCTGAATTTGGGGCTTATCTTTCCATTTTATGATATCTTTTGATGAATTTCAATTTATTAACTTTAATGTAATCAAATATATATGTCTCAATTACAGCTTTTTATGCCCTAAAATTCTTCCTGACACTCAGGTCATTGCAATAGGTTCTGACATTTTCTTCCAAAGTTTTACAAAGTCTTGGGGTGCCTGGGTGGCTCAGTAGGTTTAGCTTCTGACTCTTGATTTCCACTCAGGTCATGATCTCTGGGTGGTGAGATGGAGCCCCAAGAGCTCTATGCTCAGCAGGGAGTGTACATGAGATTCTCTAGCTCTCCCTCTCCTTCTTCCCCTCCCCCCTGCTCTCTTTCAAATAAGTAAATATTTTTTAAAAACAGACTTTACAAAGTCTTTTATATTCAAGACTGCAATCCACTGTCATTTTGGTTTTTGGGCAGGGTAACACAATTCCCATTTCCCCCGCCTCCCACCATGAAAAACAAATTAATCCAGTGCCACTTCCTGAAAGGTCATTCCTTCTCTCCTACCTATCTGCACTATGACCTGTCAAATTTCAAGCACACATGCATCAGCATATTTTTTTTATCCTTGAGCCAAAATTACACTGTCTTATTATTATAGCTTTGCAGTAAGTCTTGCTAGCTGGTAAAATAAGCTTTTCCACCTATTTGTTCTTAAGAGGTTCTTTGATCTTCTTAGCCTTTTGCATGTCTGTATAAATTATAGAACCATCTTGTCAAGTTCCAAAAATCAAATAAACTAATAATTTTTTCAAAAA